TTTCCAACACTTCAATGCTAAAACATTCGTTTTGCTTTATCACTTCTTCCAATTCATTCATACGCGGAAAATATAAGGGCAAGCTGAACGATTCGACCTTTTCTTTGCTTAGTATTCCCTACGTTCTAGAAACATAAAACATAAATGCGGGTTAGATCATCTTCTAGTTTCTTTGGGTGAAACTTGGTTTGGTATCGAATCAACCGAATTTAGTGTCTGAAGATTATATAAAGATAACTTACCGAATTGGCCATATCAACCAGACAATCTCCTATCATATCAAAGGCAACACCCGCCCATGTTCGAACCATTGGGATACCGTCGGGTAAATATATTCCAGTCATGATCAAGGAGCCTCCGGACACAAGCTCTTCTCCTCTAGCTCCAAGAAAAGCCCCCATATCCTTCTTGAATTGAGCCTTGTAAGCATTGGACACTTCTTCCACCAAATCAGAACATCAATACTTTCTTTGTTCCAAGCCGAGGAATTTCTGTTGCATACATCTGGTGGAATTTTGGATAACCAATGAAATGTATAGGAAGTGTGTCCAATGTTGATAGTGTTTTTAGGATAGACCAAATATAATTGTTGTAGATATTAATTGACGAATATAAAATTTAATAGTTAGAAAATTAATTTTCAAAATAAGAAAATATTATAGTCATTTAAAAAAATTATATTTTACACCGATATTAAGTTTAATATTCACAACTATATATAGAGAAAATGATTCAAAATTATATAGGTGGATAGGTGTTTGTATTGTATATTATATATATATATATATATATATATATATGTGTGTGTGTGTGTGTGTGTTTATGTATGTATTGAGGTAATGACCATACACATTTTTTGTTCGCCATTTCTCCGTCGTAAAGTAAAAACTTTGGTTAAGGTTTATAAATGAAGCCTTCGGCGATATGGACGAGGCAACATGCAGAAGAATAATAAACATGACAAATACTTCAACCAAAAAAAAAAAACATGACAAATACATGTGGCTGACAGGAACCTTCTTTAATCTTTCTACACTAAAAAAATGTGAGTTAATTTATATTTGGGAAATTAATTGTGCTTAATAATATGTCTAAAATGTGAGTAACAATAACGGACCGACAGGTTATGCTCGTTAATTTTCGTAAATTAAACAGTCTAATTTATACACATACCCGAGATTATGGATTGGTTATTGGATATCGAATTTCAGTTTATTTTTTTTATATGATTAAAACCTTCAATTTCCTCTTCAAATATACCATTCATCCGATTTCTCTTAATTAAAAAAATAAATAGTAACAATTTAACTTGTTTATTAATTTCAGCTTATTATCCGATTAGTTTTTCTGAATTTTTAAAATTCATTCGATGTCCCTTTTCATTCAACTTTCAAGTCAGAATTCAGACGAAAAATAGGATGGATTTTATGAAATTTGGAGTTAAATCCGATGAATTATAAATTGGATGAATTGTTAGAATTTAAAATAAACTTGGATGATCGCAAGGGAAAATAGGATGAAGGGTGATAATTGAGGAGGGAATTCAAATATACAATAATACAAAATACTAGTAAATAAAAAAAGAAAAACAATATGCACCGAACCACCAATCTGTATGATTTTTAATTGGGCCAGAATGCAGTGTTAGTATTGGACGTCAGGCCCAATACGTTCATTTTCCTTACAAGCCCAAATGCCTTTAACTCCTGACACGCTAGTTTTTTTAAATGGCAAAATTATGGGCCATATCCGAAAATTAAATATATTAGCCATCTGGATTGAGTTTGGATACCATATGTAAAATATTCGTGAATTTGGTCGTGATTTTGGATCTTTCGATTTTCCAAATCGGATATTTGTGAAAATTTAACATTTCAGAAATTATTCCTAAATTTAAAATTATAAAAATATTTTTAATGTTTGTTACCCATTATGAAACTATCTTTAATTTTTAAATAAAATTTGAATTTTTATTCAACTTTATATTATTATTATTGTGGAAGAATTGAATTTTTCTCCGGTTTGACCAATGTTGATTTTTCAATCTTCACTAATAAACTCTGGAATTTTCATTTTTTATTGTCTTGAAATAAATATTTTATCAACAAATCGTGGACTGAATACTCTCGCAATTATTTATTTTCGGTTCTACAGAGAAACTTCATCTTCCGGATAAATTATTTGGAAAAAAAAAATCTGAAATTTAGATGATATGCAAATCTTGTCTTTTTCTCCTTTCTTTCATTTTTTTTTGTGGGTCAAGGGATTCACAGCCATTTATCATCATTTTCAGACGGACAATTATAGAAAAAAAAAAAACCTCCCATAAAAAAAAAAAGGAAAAGAATCAGGAAAAGAAGAGATAAAATTGCGGACCAAATCTTCTAGATATTGTCTCGAAAATGGGGGATCAATTATCAAATCATGCAAACTGATATAAATGTTATCATTTTATTAATTACCTCAATGGATTCCCTATATGTATAGATGCGCGTCTATATGTATGTCTATATATATATATAAACACGCATACAGACAAATACAAAGACATTCGCACACACACTATATACACATACATATATACCGCCACTCCTATCCCAACGATCTAGAAGATGAAATATATATATATATATATATATATATGTTACATTCTTGCAAGTCATAGTTGTGTTGGTACTACACGTACATATGTGTGCATACTTTAAAGTTGTTGATTAAGATCTTCCCGCCAAATTGACTCGGTTTAATAATCACGAGGAAATTAAATTCCTGAATTTTGCAATATCCAGCAATAACAATCATATTTCCAATTGAATAAATGTGAAATAGTCAAAATATCATTTCAAGCGAATCTCATCATATGATTCCAAATATTTGTTTCTGTTGATAATGGAGAGGATCTCCGTTTGTATCGGTCAACCAAGATACTATGATAATTAATTTTGTATACACGTTAATAGACTGTCTAAATTTCAGTAAGACCAGAATTAATTGAGAAAACCATTGGAAATTATTATATAATTTGTATTTATATATATAAATCACCTCAATGTATATAGTGGCACTAATCAAATTGCTTAACACGATGAAAAAAATAATCAAGTTGCCTTAGACCATATATATATATATATATATATATATATGTATGCTCATTTTATTGAGATTTTTGTTTTGTTTTGAAAACGTGATATTATAGTTTTTTTTTAAATCATGGGTTTAGTTGTTGTTTACACTAATCCAAACATAATTCATTAATTTTGGTTTAGATATATAATAAAAGAGTTATTCCATCAAAATGCATAAAATTTTTGGTGAACCATATATCTATCATAAAATCACGATTAAATTAAATGTGGTAATCATGGAAGACTGACTTTTAAACTTAAGTTCCAAGTCATGAAATCATTTAATAAAAGTTTGGGTGCCTAGAGAATCAATATGCACCTCTCTAAGTGTAGTTTTCCTAATGTATAAAATTATTGTTTTGTGATATTAAATTGGTAAATTATATATAAAAAAGTTATAACTAATCAAATAAAAAAAACAAATACTTGCCTACATTGCGACAATATTAACTTTAAATTCGGTCCTAACTATAATATGATTACAATATAAAGACAATCATTATCCCGACAAGAGAGCCTTCTCTCCTTTTTGTTATATGCTTATAATTAAAATTAACAATATTATTTACTTCTAATGTTATTATATAATGGTCAATCGCACGAGAGATCGCTTAAAGTATCTTTTGTAATCATCTGATTAGGACACTTCACAACTATTAAATCAAGTGCTACATTAATATCTTGGCATATATATATATATATATATATAATTCAAGTTGTTAATAAATTGAGAAAGAAACAAAGATTTATGTCACATTGAAAGACAAAATCCGCGGACCACTTCTAGATAATTATAGAAATTCAAAATTTTTATGGCATGACTGTTTCTCTCTTCTTTTTTTTTTTTTTTTATCAAACATAACAGAAATTTGGCTAGTACAGTTAAAAATAAAAAATATTATCTAGGATATATAATCATTGCAACAAATTGTGGAGTTTGACACACAATTTGATGTGTTATTTATGGACTATGGATAGAGTTTCACTTGTAGAACTTGTTAACAAAATGAGATATTTTTTGGTGGATTTTTGTAAAATATATTCTTCAATCTCTTTTCCAAATCATTCTATTTCTGAATTCCCCTCTATTAAATATAAGAAAAATGAAGACGAATATATTTTTTTTAAAAATAATGATAGGAAAATAAAAATACCAATACACAGTTTATTCATTCAACCAGATTTCAACATTTAAAGCCAATGTGTTGTGTGTCTATATATATATACATATATTTGCATAAAGATATGTCTCCAATATGTGTTAATTGTTAAAATTGTATTTTTTATGCAAAATGGTGGGAGAGAGGAGGTGCAAAATCAGTGGGATGACGTCAGCCGCATGATTTGATATGTACCTTCACTCACTCAAAGGCTCTTTTTTTTATAATATATTACGAATGTTCTTCTATGGTTTTTGATTTTGAGATTTTTTAAATAATAATTTAAAAAGAAATTAAACTCGAATCACATTAGCAAAAAACGTAGTCAACCCCAAATCACACACACACACACATATATATATATATATATATATTTAAAAAACTCACATAACAATATATAATACTTTTTCTGTTATTACTCGAAAATGTTTCCATTCGATTCCGTAATTGTACGATGCAACCTTGCCAATAGAGTTAATCTCGTGTGATAAAGATTATCCTTGATTTACCAGCTAATAGTGGTTCAGTGGTTTCGTGAGTAACAAAATCATTTCAATGTTTTGGGTTTGATTCCACTGGTAGAGAAGACGAGACAATTAATTGTGTAACCAAAGATTGACTCCGAGTCTAAAAGATTAACTGGGTCGAAGGTCTAGTGAACTTCATGATTATAAAAAAAAAATTAGCAAGATTTTGAAAAAAAACCCTAGTTCATATATTTTTTTGCAAATTTTATAGTTTTTATTTGTTTTAACAAAACGAGAATAATTTACGTTAAACAGATCTAATTTTGATTTAAATTTTGATTCAATCGCAATAGTTTCTCTTAAACTTGTAGACGTATACGATGTTTCATAGTATTCTAACTTTTATAACGAAAAACTAAAATCCAAATTTAACAAAACGCAAAGAAATATTGTAACTATTCTTGAGAAATTAATAATCTAATTTAGTTATGAAAATGGAATAATTTCTCATCTGGATGACAAGATAAGTTTTTATTATGTCCAACAAGATAATACATGCGATTATTTCACCAAAAAAAAAAGATAATACGTGCGATATAGGGGAGTTTGGAAATGCAACAAGATAATTCATTATCAAAAGGATAGTTTTTTTATATATTTTTTTTATTAACAAAAAAAAATGATAAATTTTATTATAAAATATGTGGGCACCAAAAAGTTATTACATGTAACTGTTACGAATATATATTGAGTCATTGTATATATAAATATTTAAATAAATTATGATTTATCTTATCACAAACAAGCAAGCATACAAATTGCAAGCCAGCTCTATCCAAGTAACTTTATATGCGTTGTTTTTTTTTTAAGTTCCATTTAATGGGATATGATAATAGACTTGACCTACTTATTCAATTTTTAATATTCTTAATTAATAAAATATTATTCTTTGATATTTAATGCGTGTGTGCGCGTGTATGAATGAATATATATATATATATATATATATATATGTATGTATATTTACATATTACATATTTCGTGGCGTGACAATTTTTTTGTTCATATAACGTATATATGTAATTGATATATAACCGATGTAGCGATGATAAATCAGTAGTTTTAAATGTTTGATGACCACTTCAACTTGTACCAACGACCGGTAAATATAATAGATCAATTTAAAAGTTTTTAAAAAGTTTATATTTACGTGAAAATTTTAAAATTCGTGTCTTAATAGAATACTTACATAGATCATTGTCCTTTTTTTTCGAATAATTTTTTTTTCACTTTACATAATATTCAACCGAATTTCGTTGGCGCTGAATAAAGAGAATCAACATACATGGTATACCACATTTGCCAACATGCTACCTATTTTATTAGGTCGAGTTTTTTATAAATGAGTGGTGACAGCTATGATTGAATTAGCTTTACCAAAATTTATATATATTATATTACAAGAAAAATCTAATGGTAACGAGAAATTGATGTGATTATTATATATTATCTCTTATTGTATGAAATTATAAAATATCTAGTTAATTAATAATCTTGGGAAACTCATTTGAATAATGAAATTGTTATGTAATTGATTGCAAATGTTGTTGTTTGTAATGATGATGATTATGTTACTCGTCGCATGTAACACATTATTATGCCCATAGTTTTCATCTCCACTAGCGTTTTGTTAAGTCCTAACTTTTAACAATGATTTTTTTTTGGGGGAAAAGCTTACTCCCGCAATTTTCTTGGTTCTTATTATGCTCCCGAGATTTGTAAAGTCATAGAAAATCAACCCCTAACATTTACAGTTACTTCAATTCCCCCCTCAAGTTTTAGAATAATTGTAGGGCTGATGGTGGTTTTCTTTCTTTTTTTTTTCTTCCTAATTAGAATTTTGTGTTTTTTTCAAACGACAAATTTTGCAAAGGTATTTTAATTTAAAAAACTAGCTGCATATTTTAAATTTGTTTCAATAATTTCTATTTATTTAACCAATATATGTTATTTATTTTGTTTTTATTTTTATATTTGATCATAATTTTTTTCTTTTGAAGAAAAGTATTTTTTTTGTTTGGCATTTCATTCGTATATACATGGTATATTTTATGGAGTTGTTTTCTCTTTTTTTTATATATATTATTTTTCCAATTTTTTATTTATAATTGTTTCAATCATTTTTTTTATGTTTGTTTATTTCAGGTTGATATTATTTATTTATTTATTTTATTTTATTTAATGTGTTATAAAAGAAGAGCACTTTACAAATCAATTAAAATATGAGAGATGAATGAATCAAGAATCAACCTTAGTCATTATAAGTGCCCTTAGTGCCACCAAACTTAACTAGGAAAAAGACCAACTCCTTTCCCCCTCCCATCACTTATCATTCCCTCGATTTCTTTTGCTTTATGTTTGTTTATAATTTTAAGGCTTATCTAGATCGAGCACATTTAAATATAATTATTAATTTTAATCAAATATTATATGGTTAAATGCCACTTTTTTTTTTCAGACCATAAAGTCCAAAACAGGTAGTCACCATCTAGTTTTTGTCTATATTGATAATGCAAGAAGATAAATGACCTTAAACAAAAAAAACGACCCTTCGCACGTTCCTATACTAATATAGTTTTTTTCACATATGATTTTTCGTCTATCTTTTTTTTCACATATGAATTTTTTTTTATTGTTTTCTGAATTGATATCACTTTGTATGGACTCTTACAGTACTTATGTCACAAAAAATTGATTGCAAAACTTGAATTCATTTATTTATTCGCATTCGTATAGACATACTACGTTATTCATGTATATTCATTTATCTATTCGCAACCCATATCCATATAACTCTAGATCTCTGTTCTCTCTATTTTTTTTTTTTAAATTAAAATTTTTGAAATGTGAATATGTCTAATAACACAAACCAAAAGGAAACTCATCATTTTTTGGGGAAAAAATAACACAATTTAGTCTTATTATACCCCTAACAAAATTGACCCCATGATCCCTTATTTTACTCAGGAATTCCGAAAACCCAAAACCCTAAAAAAAAGGATGATCCAGCAACCCCTATCCTTTTCCTCTTCCATATGGTAACAAAACCCTTCACGAGTCCAATGGCTTCAATATCACTTGAACGCCGTGCTTAGGCTTTATGGTAAGCACAACGACCGGAGCATGCCTGTAATTCTCCGAAATGGTGAAGCTGAACTTGGAGATCAGCATCGCCAGTATTATTTTTGCCTCCATCATTGCGTACGTCTGACCGATACAGTTCCTTGGACCGGCCGCGAACGGTAAGAAATGACGGCCTGGCGCGAACGTTTTGGTCATAAACCGCTCCGGATTGAACTCGTTGGCGTCTTTGCCCCATAATTCTTCGCTGTGGTGAATCGCGAGGACGGGAATCCAAATCGCCAAGCCCTTGGGGATGATCAAATCGCCGAGCTTTATGTCCTCGAACGCCATTCTTGGCAGAAGAGTTGCTGGCGGATAGAGTCTCAGAGACTCGTTTATCACCACGTTCAACTGCCAAAGAAGAAGAACAAAGTTGCAAACTTTATAAGAAAAATCAAATCTTTGCTCGCAAATTACAAAGTTTAGATTCTTTATAGTCGAATTCACACGAGTTGTTTGTGAAATTAAGTGAAATAATTACAACATAGAGAAAGCCCAAGACGACAGCATACAAGCAGCCTGCGTATGGACCCTATACATGTTATAAAATTGGATGGCCTAATTATTAAACCCTTTTGTTTTTTAACCAAATAAAGAAAGGAGATAATTTACTTAGATATTTACGATAGTTTCCTTTTCAATTTAAATTTTTGGACTGATTTGATGACTATCTTAGGTTTAGTCATGGAAGAAGCACTACTACTTAGTGGAACTTCCTATACTTTGTTGTTGTATGTGCCTATGTGGTACCCCACCCCGCACCCACCAAAAGGCAAACACACTTAAAAATAAAATAAAAAAAGATATTGTATTGTATATATATATATATAGGGCCATTAATTAAAAAATAATAATATCGTTTGAACAGATAACAAAATTCGTCTTTTTATATGAATTAGTTTTATTTTTCAATTCGATCCTACTTGAAACCTTAACCATTTGGCCGCTTACCTATAAATTGACCAAAATACCCTTATAACACCGATCCGATCCTTTCTTTTCTACAAAAAGAAAATCGGCACTAATCTATTGGATTCCGCAGTTTGGTTTATGAATTTCCACTGTGAGTCTTAGTTCTCATATTTTTATGATGCAAAAAAAAAAAAAAAAACGAATCTAGATTCATATTTTTTTCATAAAATGTACATATGTAGGTAACTAGAGCTTTATTATATATGTAGGTAGCGTACCGTGGTGAGCTTAGGGAGATGGTCGACGGAGGGGACACCATCAGGGCCGCAAACCTGGCGGACTTCGTCGCGGACCTTGTCCTGCCACGTAGGATTTCCGGCGAGGAGCATGGCGGTCCACGTGAGGAGCAGGGCGGTGGTCTCATGGCCGGCGAAAAAGAAAGTCTTGCATTCGTCCATTATGAGCTGGAGATTCAGGTGGTTCTTGCTCTTGTTCTTGTGCATGTCGTCCAGCAGAAGCCCCAGGAGGTCGTTCCCGTACGAACTGCTCCGTCCAATCTCCACGCAGTCTCGTCTGCTCTGTATGATCTCCATCAGCAGACCTTCTACCTCTCTCTTCTGAGATTTTATCTCTCTGTTGTACTTGCTCGGAAAAAATCTGCATCATTTTTTTTTACAAGTACCGTATTGTAATCATTCCACATCCGACATTATCATCGTTTATAAAAATATATATATATTTGGTCGGGTAAAAACGCATGCAAATTTCTTTTATGGAAGGGAATCAAGATATAACGACCATGAAAATACTAATAAATGTTTTTCCGTATGATCTTGGTCGGAGGAATAAAGGGTGATTTTTTTTATTATAAAAAAACTATGTATACAAATGTATACACATATAGATATATCTTTGTATCATATAATTTATATATTAAAATGAGAAAATAATAATAATACCTGCTGCCGGGGAAATAGAAATGGCGAGTGGCTTGAGCGCAGAGGCGTTGGAGGGTATAGAGAAGTTGGAATATCTGCTTGCCTTTGTCGTAGCTGCTGCCGAACATTGTCTTCGATATGATGTCGGCCGTGAGGCGATGAAGCTCCTCCCCTATCTCTATCTCTCCGCCGCCTGCCCCGACCTCCTTCCTCATCCTCTCGTTCATCCTCCTCGTGCACTCAACCATATGCCCCGCGTACCCCTTGAGTCTGTCGCCGGAGAAAGCGGGAGCGGTGAGGTGGCGCTGGTGGTGCCAGTCATCGCCGTTGGCCATGAGGAGGCCGCGTCCTATAAAGCTCTTGGCGCCCTGCTGCTGCAGCCACGACTTCCCCGTCGTGGCGTTGTGTCTCGTTAGCAGCTCCTTTATCATCTCCGTCTCCGCCAGGACTAGCCTTGGCTCCGTCCCGTTCCACACTATGAATCTCTTCCCTGCTCCCCAAAAAACAAAAGGAATATCATGAGAGGGTAATTTGGTCATTTCATGACTCGTCAACCCCGGGCGTGTGACTCGGTGACGTCACGCCGCACGAATCTATTCGAATTTTATGGATTTGATGTGGTGGTGGGGTCGGTATAATTTTATATTTGATATTACTTTTGTGGAATTAATTACGGCTTGTAAAAAAATTCCGTACCTGCACCAGCATTTGCGGCTTCTCCGGTTTAATTACGGTTTTACATTTTCCGGTTATCGAATCACGCTTTAGTTCATCTTATAATTGGTGGATTTCTCTTTTTTTTTTTTGGCATAGGAAATTCATTTTGAACCCAATAAGAACGACGTAAACCCTCCTACCGTATTGTTTGGACCAAGCCACGTAATGAGGGAGAAGGCGATCGACGATGTCGTGATGGATAGAGTCGCAGTCATTGGCCAGCGACCGAGACACCATGGAGGCGATCTCGACGATGTTTCCGGTGAGGGGCCGTGGGCTCGGACCGGTGACCCCTTGCCGTGCCATCATCTTCCTTATCCGTCTCGGCGTCAGCCAGTAGCAAGAAACGGTGTCGTATAGGACTCTCACCATGAGGGTCACGAATATCACGACGAGCGATACCAACAACGCAACCAACATGACTCTTTTTTTTTTTTTGTAAATAAAACAAAATATATGAAAGAGAAAAGATTTGGAGAGAGAGAGAGAGAGAGAGAGAGAGAGAGAGTTAGTGATGTTTATTGAGCTGCATACATTGAGCAGTCGTGTGCATGCATATATATATATATAGCGTTAAAAAGTGTAGGAGTAAATGAATGGGAGATTAGATTCTTTTTTTTTTGAATTTTAATTTTAATTTATCTAAATTATCAGTTACTTTAGTAGTTTAAGACAGAACACAAGGCATTCATGTCTGTTTTTTTTTTTGCTGGCTCTTCCTTTTTCTTCATTTTAGGAAATTATAATCTCATCTTTTTTTATAATTTTATCAGTATAGTCTCTGTCTAGTATATTTTATTTCCCCCCATTATATTATCTTTTGCAATATCTATCTTCTTTTAGTTACCATATGCTGCCACGACCGTTATTTTAAAAGAAGGAATTTAATTTTCTTAGCTATAATTAAGATAAAAATAAAACTACGATTTCTTACTTTTATTACATAAACTGATAAGTGTGATAAACTATGTTTATCTAAAATCAATAAAAAAAGGTATGTATTCAACACAATGAAAAAGATAAGTTCAATATCCTATACGTGTGGTTTCATTTATGGAAATTTGAAGTCCTTATCTCAACAATTTTATTATTATATTCCCAAATGTTTTATAGAAAAACTTAAAAATAATAAAATAAATATTAATCAATAAAAAGTTCTCGGATATTTTATCACCAAATTTTGTACAATCATATATGCATATAATTATGTATGGATGTATATAATATATATAAATAATGTAATTATATTTAGTATTAACTTTTTCAAATAATGATTTAATAATATATTTTGATGCATTTGAATAGGTTGTTCTTTTGGTTTCACAAATTACTGATTTGCAATGCATTTGATTTAGAATATATTTTTTATAAAAAAATTTCTCTACATATTTTGTAATTTTATTCAGTTACCAATCCAAAAAGTATACTATAACAAATTTGCAATTCCAGTTACATGTAGAGTTTTTGGGATTTGAAATTTTGTGAAAAGGGTTTGACTAAAATTTAATTATATGATGTGGTCGCCTTATTTTCATTTCAATTTAACCAACTTTTTCTAAAATTGTAAATTTGATTTTTTTCCTTTTATCTATTTTTTTCTCATATTTACCGCTATAAGCCTATAAATTAAAACAAAAACCCCACGATATTCGAGAGAAAGTCGAACCACAATAAAAATAAAACAAGTCCCACCATGCGTGTGTTTTAAAAAAAAATTTATGCTTTAAACTAGAGTAATTTGAAACGTATTAATTAAAAAAGTTTCAATTTGAAGAATGTACAATAGAAACATACGACGCATTATTGAGAAATTAACAATGGCCTAAAAAGTCATGGATTTTTAGCAATCTATGGACTATATTGAATGTACAAAGATGCTTATATATATATATATTTTAATTTCCAAAGTATATCGCCCATGGGATTATTCATATCGGATTTTGAGATTGTTTAAGATAAACTCTAATAATCTTTGGAAATTAAAAAAGAAATGTATCTGCCAAAAAAGACAAAATCCGATATAGAAAAAAAACAATGTAAATCCAATATTCATATCCTCGAAACAACTAAATCTTGGAAACAAACAACTAAAATCTTGGAAACATTCACCCCTCCGGTTAATAAATTAATATAAGATTGCACTAGAATATATACATATTATTATAAAAAAGAAAAATCTAATTTATATTTAATAGATTATCTCTTTCATGCATTTACTTTTATTTTGTATTTGTAATAATAGTAGTCTAACTCTAGTAGTGTGTAGCATTCCATCCAAAAAAGGAGCTTTAAGCAAAGGAGATCTAATAATCAAGGCGGAAAGTAACAGAAGAATCATGGTTTCCTAATCATTAAGGTCCATTACAAGTGAACATGAACAATTTCTATACATATAAAAATTAGGAATATATTCTAATAATGGGCTTTTTGTGGATAGGGGTAATTGTCCCATCAAAGCCCAAACAAATGAGGCCCACCTTTGGGTTTAAGCTCGATCTTTGACCGTACATTTTCCAGGGACCGACAAATATTTGTGCTTCGTACGGTCTTGATTTCGATTGATCATCAAAAGTGGTAATAAGGTATAAAATTAAAGAACATGATTTGAGAGAGAGCACATGAAACGAGTCCAGAAATTGCAAGGAACATATTTTAAATAGAATTATTCAAAAAATACGAAAATAAATAACCTAACGAACCACCCTCACTTATTAGTGGCCCTCTTTTTTTTGGACGTAATACCCTATGCTAAAAGAAATGAAAAAAACATCTTCATCATGAGTTAAAAAAAACAAGGATTATAAATATAATAATTACAGATAAAAAATACAGCAGTAAAATATTTTATTTAATTAATATAAACAAGTCAAAAATAAATATCAGACGACAAGAACAATGCATCATGAAATAACTCCATCACAACTAGGACTGAGACGAAATCTTGCCGGCGGTTATAACCCTTTTAAATGTTAGTGAACACATATTTCGAGTAATTACTACCTTATTAACAAAGACTAAAAAAAGATAGATATATATGTACGTGTAAGCATGGGTTACCAAAGAATTGCAACTTGGCCCCAACAAAGTAGAAAGAGTGGCAATACTAGGTTCAGACAGCACAAAATCATTCTCAAGTCTATACCGAAAAACAAGAGTTCTCTCCATATCAGTCTTGTATTGAAGAATCAGTCCCTCGAATTCTGCATGAGCTCGAACCACTGCAATTACGCAGATCGGTGTCATGTTCCGACAACTGGTTGCTAACGTGCGAAAGCAACAAGGAAAAAAGAAAAGGCCGAGAAGAAAGGTAACCTGTCTCAAGAGATCAGCAAGTGTAGTGGGTAAGGCTTCAATGTCTCTGAGCACAATGTAGTAAGGGAATGGGAATGAATCTAAGTATCTAAAGAATTTTATACTCCCATCTTTCTGCACAATACACTCCTGAAAACAAATAAACAGCAATTTTTTTTTTATGAGCTATCTCTAAGCTTACCATATGAAGGAGAAAAAACAAGAGATGGGCTTTGAAGGAACAAACCTTTAAATCAAGAACTGATTCTTCCGAGTTATCGAGAAGCAGAAATACTACCATCCGTTTCTTGCTAAGGAAATTTCTTACGCCACGCTTCAGTTTCTCTTTCTCGTGGAACTTTCCGTCACCAATGATCAGCACAAGTTGCTGCAGAGGGTTGCTACCAGAGGAAAGTCGTGTCCTGGTTGCCGAAGAATCAAGCATTTCATTCAAATGAGTCAACAGGTTGACGACGGGTTCGTCTTTGATGAGATTTTCTTGTTTAAACGTCAAACTCGAGATCATCTGCACCCACAGAAATCAGCAACAGGAAGTTTCGGGTAAATTTCACCGTAAGAACAAAAGGAGCAGAGAAAGAAGAAAGAAACATTGAACATTTATATATGTACACTAAAAGATGCAGATTCGAGAGGCACTGACCTTAATCCCAGACTCTCGGCTGAAAGACTGACCAAAATCATGTAAAGTCTTCATGTTTCCTTCCTTCCCGAAACTTGCAACAGCCAGACTTCCCATCTCGAGTTGAGACATTGCACGACACACAGTCGTGAGGGCTCTAAGCGCAAATTCACCGCAACCACTTTCCGACATGCTACGTGAATCATCCACGGCAACGACAACCTGGTACTCACGCTTGCTAGGTTTTGTCCTCCTCAACCAGATTTTATCTTTCCGATACTGACTAGCTATGTATGGAATAACCTTTTTCATGTTGATCCGTTTGCCCGTTCTGTAGTCACCGTGGAGCTTGCTTGCAAGCGTTGGTTCCAAGATAAGACGAAGCTGCTCGGCCAGCTCCTGAGACGATTTCACAGTTAGTGACTCACATTTTCTCCATCTAATCACTGCATTACTTTCGGCATCGGGATCTTCCTCAGTATCCTGAACTTTGCCCATTTCCTGATCAGTCACTGGCACTCTGAGCGGATTATACACATCTTCGCCAACGAAGGATCTGTCGACAGAAACCATAGAGTCCATTCCTCCATCGCCATCATTGCAGTCATTAATTGGGAATTCCTCTTGATTTTTCATGTCTGTATCTGGTGCCTGAACTTGTTCAGGGATACCATTCCTTAGCACTGCATTAGAGTGGACAACAGGTTTGTTTTGGGGGTTCACATCATCTATATCCATCTCGGTCACTTCATCCTGATGCCCTTCGATTCTTTCTCCCTCAGGTTCCACATCCCTCATATCTGTGTCCACCTGCTCAGACATTGCAGGTCCCAGAGCTTGTGAAGTTCCTGCATCAAACTGAGAAGTATATCCATACTCACTAGCATCTGGATCCTCAATTTCACCCTCAATCTCTTGCCTTTCTCCTTTAAGGTCTGTGGAAACTCTAATTCTTTCTTTCCACTCCTTTAATGCATCGCCAACATGCCTGTAAGGGTTCAGTTTGGTTTGTTGAGAAGAACATGTTAGGTTTTGAGGCAATTCCATCTTTGGGGCATTATCTGTCAATGTTTCACCATTCATTGAGTTGGTCACCATGAGGTTCCCCTCAAGGTTAGCACCAGAAGGCAGATCTATTGAAGCTGCAAGATTATCGGTAGCATTATTATTAGACCAGTTTTCCTGAGGTGCTGTACTTCCTGCCGCCGATAAATGGTCTCCTAGAAGTGTTTGTGATCCAGACTCCACATTAGGGATGTTATCACCACCAGAATTTGGATTCTTATGTTCGATTACATCTTCTTTCTCTTCTGTTGGCTCCATTCCTGCATTCTGCTCAAGGTCATCACCAGTACGATCTTTTTGAGGAGAACCAGACACATCCTCACCCCCTGCCTCCACAGATTCATCAGCAGGCTCTGGAATTTCGTGACCATTTTCAACTTCTTCAGGTTCATTTTGATCTTCTGGACAAGTTTCTTCATTATGAACGGCTGCATCTTCTTTTCCATCCTCTTCTTTATCATCAACCTCCATACCATCATCAATTTGGTCATTGCTCACCTCAGGGTTTAGACCAGTTGGGTCTGCAAACGCTTCTTCCTTACTCTGGCAAAGGTCTTCCAGGTTTTCAGTGTCACCAAGATTATCCTGATCCTTGTCCTCATCATTTCCTTCTTCATGTTTGTCAGAAGTGTTCAATTCGTCACGTTCATCAGTAGTGACAGCATCGTCCTCCTTTGCTCTTAACTCTCTAGAGTCAGGGTCTTTGTCCACAACATTTGGTCCAGATTCATACTTCTCATTCTTGGTTTCTGGCTCCACATCTTTGTCTTCGTTCCAGAGCTTTTCATCAGCTACTTCAGCATCAGATCCCGCCTCTCCCATAGCAGAATCCAACTGCTCATCCTCGCTTTCCCCATCTTCATTGTCTTCTCCAGAATCCTCGCTGATGCTATGTGCTTTTCCATCAAACTCATTGCTCATCTCGATGCCTTTATCATTACCCAGCATCTCATCTGGAGCATCCTGCTTTTCATCTCCCTGTTAAAAGCGTGGAGGGGGTAAAATCGGTCACACTGTGGAATATTATGTAAAAAATAGAGATGTAAATAATGATAGAGAAGACAAGAGCAATACCTTTTCAGATGTACCGATCAGTTGATCTTCATCTTCTATTTGGTCGCTCACGTCTTTTGCTCCCTCTCCTTCTCCCATACCAGTACCTGCTGCAGCTTGCGATTTGTCAACACTAGAGTCATGACCTTCATCTTTTGTAGACACGCCAAACCCCTTTGTGAACAGATCCGCCAAGACACTTGCAAGCTCATGGGTTATCAATGACACCTACAGGAAAGTAAATGGCCAAATACTAGATATATATAAAACATTCATTTCAAGTGATATTAAGGTTGTAAACGTGTCATTTAGAAACTTTTACGCCATCTTATGCAAGAATATAATACTTGTCCCATCACTCTGTTTTAACAAAATTAACCTTGAAACAGAAGCAAGAGAGAGTTGCTTACCGTTTTGCTCATCCCCAGAAAATCTTTGAGGAAACAGTCGCCAAAGTACAATATTAGATCAAGGAATAGATGCAGGTGCTTCAAATGTTGTCCCACAGAAGCCAGAAGGCAACCAGAAGAGTTCACTTCTTTTTCCTGTAAAGACAGTAAACTTTGTTAGATAGGACTTGAAAGAAAAATAGGAAGGCATCCTTGCGACATGAAGGTATGAAGCAGACACAACCCAACTTACAATGGAACTAAGTGTTCCTGAAATCTGATAACATAAGTTATCTAGATCAAGATCATTTTCTGCTTTCCTGAATACACAATTCCATGCAGTAATATTCCCTTGTTCTTGAGAAGCGATTTCTCCCTTGTAGGAACAAAGCTTTTGGAGCACATCCTTGATATTTCCAAATGCACTAGCAAGAACTCCATCAAAAGCAGTTTGTTCCTTAAACTCAGATCCAGTTGATTGCTTTCCCACCTCAAGTATACAACTTAGTTCCTCGGCCAGCAATTTCCCCTGCAAAAATACCTATCATAAGATATATATGCATGAACACACTAAGTTTTCTAGGATAAATTTCAATAAAGACAACCTACAGAACTTGGAATAAAGAAAGGTGTACCTCTTCAAAGACTGGGGTGAAATGACTTTGAAGAACATCTCTGACAGAACTTTTCTCCATGCCTTCTCTATGGAAACTTGAATATTTCTTCTCAAATTCATTAAGTGTCTCAAAGTTCCGAAGTAAAAGTTCTACCATTTGATTTGTGACAATCTTTTGATCTGGACAGTCAGTTGATGCGATAATAGCTCCATCGCAACCAATAAGGCACCTATCCAGTGATGCCTGATGACAGACTTATATTCAGGCACTTGCAGGAAGATGATGTTCAGAAAGATTGAATGAGCAATGCTGAAGATTCTGTACCTTAGATTTTTCAACAATGGGAATTAATCCTTCAGTGAAGCAAAGGACACCGCTTGATGAAGCTTTCACATCTGGACAAGAGTCCAAGTGGGAACTTCTAACTGTTCTCAACAATGCAGATTCCTCGCACAACATTCTAATAAGCTTATCGAAAAGTTGCTGCAATACAACAAAAGGCATAACAACTCAACTCAGTATAGCATGCAATAGACGTTCAGCAAACAACAGTTTTCAAGTTTGAAGGCCAAAATACCTTCTGTTGCCTCATGCAGTGGAAGATAGCACGTTGATTTCGAGGAAAACTGAGCACGGAACTATCCCTTGACTCAGAATCAAATGAGTCTACCAATAACATCTCAAAAGATGAAACAAGTTGGCGTAATCGCTGGAGACGTTCATCAATGCAATAAGCAGCATTTCTTTGCTCCCTTTGTATTTCCACAAGATGGTTGAGGAAAGAGATAGACCGGTTAAACTATTCATGTAGAGAAATTTACTGTAAGAACCCTTGAAGAAGTTCGAAAATACAAACAACTAATTTAGTTGAGGACCAGAGAAGGCAAGAGAAGAGTTGACGTGCAACAGCAAAACCTACCTGCTCATATGTAATATCTGTGTGTTTATGGCCAATCTCTAACAATAGCTGCACTGAAGCCAAGCTCTTAAAATAAAATTGATTTGCATCTCGCCAGTCAGCATCTGAAGTTTCCTGGTTTTGGTCTTCAACTTTTCTAGGAGGATGCACGCTAGTTTTGGATTCTGTAAACAGCAGATGTTGCGGATCATATGATGGCTGAGCAAGCATCCCTTTCAAGTGGTTTGATATCTGCAAAACAATTATCACAGATTGTAGTTCATCAGCAGAGAACAGGATAACCAGAAACATAAACAGAAACAACAAACACCGCAATTTACCTCCATATTTTCAAACTTGTGTTTCTGCAAACCACTAATTTCTAATAACTTTAGAAGTTCCGACAAGGCCCTCTTTTTCCCAACACGTCTGTCATCGTCTCTCCACAGATCTGCGCAACCAATTATCATACCACCAACCCTAGCAACTGTACTCCACACACTCTTCCAATCATCCTGATAGATAGAGCAAGAAGATTGCTCTAACAACTGACTCACGGCATTTGCAACATCTGCAAACACAGTATGCAGACCTGAGAACATGCTAAACTCACAGCATAACTAATAAACTTTATTATATAACCAAGGAAGAATGAAAAACATAAGAAAAAACCTTCAGCTATTAGAGATCTTGTTTCAGGCTGCAATCGATGACGAGAGACTCCAACAGATTCATTTAATTTATTCCTCCATACGGCATACCATGAAAAACTACACCATATACATTTGAAACAAAACTTAGAGGGTTCAGCTTTCAAATAACACCGGCAAGGCAGAAGAGTAGAAGAGTACCTATCCCCTTCATTCATTTGCCGAGCTCCTAACGCACTGTCCAGAACCTCAGTACTCCTGGATGCCCCATTGATAAGCTTGGGACACAATTTAGGCAGAAGTTGAACTCCTTTCTGCAGAGACTCTTGCTTAACAAGCATTACAGTCTGTCGTAACATGTCCTGTTCGAGAACAACAATGTCGTTCAGAAAACATCGAGAATGTTCAGCAACAGCTAGAATTCAATCAAGTTTTGATTTCCACCGAAATCCCAAAGCAGATAGAGCTTATATGTTTCACTAACCACCAAGGAAAAAGGAATTTCCAATTACTTACAGTATACTTCTGAATCAGCTTCTTGACCTTCTGCCTGGCTTTTTTAGTGGTCCCAGTGGACAGATAATTTTCTAGCTTTTCCCACTTACACAGTTTCAGAAGATCATTTAACTCGGTCTCAACATTTCTTCTATTTGATTCAACCTGATCCATTACACTGAAAACAAATTTACAGTGAGAACGCTAAATGGAGTGACACAACCATGAACAGAAGATACAGGAGAAAGGATTCTAAAAGAACTTACATTGGCAGGAACTGGATGTAAAATCCAAAAAGGTTGTAGCAAATTTCCAGGCTCCTCTTATGAAAATCACTGCCAAATTAGAAAGTTCTATTTAAGAAAGACAGAGTATCAATGTAGAAAGCAATCAATTAGGTGATCAAATGTCAAATGTGGAAGTAAAACAAATTGTAATTATCCTATGTATCCTAGGAAATTGATGTTGAAGCTCTTTCAATATCCAAGATGGGAATGATATACATCAAATCATAGATCATCTATAACTGACCTTGAATATATCCCCAGCGAGCAACCCATTCTTAAATGAAGAAGGAAACCATAAAGAAGTTGAAGGCGTTTCCTAAATTCGCAAACGTTGGACGTTTCAATGAATTCCACCAAACTGCCACACCAATATCTTTTAGATGGTCGAATTCTAAAAAGAAAACATTAGAGAATAAGTAACCGAAAAGGTTTGGAGCAGACCTCTGCGTAATAAACTCGGTTTCATGTTCTGAAATACTATCGGAGTCCTTCGGAAACAGAATTGTAAACAAAGGAAGCCACAACTGCAACAAAAAACCATCCTTTGAGTTTTCCTTGGTAAACTTTCTTTCACCAGTAGAAATTTTCCTAACTATACTTACCTTCCCAGAATTTATTTCATACTGATCTTGAACCTCATCGAGCATCGTAGGCCAGCAATCAAATTCCATCTTCTGCCATGAGTTTGCAAGAGCAATAACTGGTTCCACGAGATCTACAAGAAGAACAACAAGCAATTTAACACCTGAGAATGAGACTTACAATATAGGAACAAATTATAGTATTGATCAACAGGTCTCATAGTCTGTGTGGTGTAGAAAAGGTTAATTCCCCTACCAGAAATGGAGAATTTACAGCCTTCTTCCTGCAACATACGGACCTTACAAAGCAGGAATTGCAATCCCAAAAGAGCCTTCACAAAGAGTTGCAATCAACAAGATAGATAATTAATTAACAATAATGAAACGATCTGGAGGATAATTTTAAAAGAGGGAAGGGGGATAGATAGCATAATGGAAAAGGCACGAAGACTAATACTTTTCAAATTGAGCCATCATAAATGTACAAGTAAGCGAAAGAGCCTAGAGATCTCAGTGGGTATAGGCTATAGTTAATTTATGCTGCAATTTTAGAGGGTTCATTCGATATTCCTGTAGAAGGAACTTTACCTTCTTGTCTCTAAGTAATTTTGTAAACTAGATTGGCCAACTACATTTAGTTCCCACAAACTCTAAAAACATAGATACCGACCAGTTGCTTTCTAGTTGATTGATGCAATATCCTTTAACTATAGCCAGATCAATTAGTATATATAAAAATACCTTTGCAAGAGGAGTACTTGAAGGAATTTCCAAGAGCATTCGAAGAATATCAGAAAGTTTTTGAAGTCCAATATGCTCCTCCCATTCTTGCAAGAGAGAAGAGATTCTCATCTGAAGACCAGTGAGTAAATGGACCATTTTCCCCAATTCCAAAGGATTTGAGTCCTATATAAGAGAGAACTAGAAAATAAGTGCAAGCAAAGTAAAAGTAAGAACAGTCACACTCTCCTCAGGAGTCAGGAAGCAAAGGATTAGCAAACCTTGTAAAAGTTAAATTTACTGGTAGACTGGTGAGTTGAAGTGAAGTTTCTTTTATATTCTAAGCACAGACGAAGAAGGTGTTCTGGTACAAGTTTCGCATCCAAGCTTGAAGTAAATAAGCCCCTTAGACCTGGAAATCAGATATATCCAGTAAAAGATAATCTAAAATGAAATGAACAGGTTGAAAGCTCAGTCTTATAATTAGAATGGTAAATAGCAGACAAGTCCAAAAGGTCACCTTTAATCAAATTGATTCCAAGTTCATAGGAATCCTTGAAGGAATCCAGTCTTCTACTGTCTGTAATACAGAACCTTCCAGGCTGTATATAAGGCATATTCACTTGTTAGGAAAGTTTCAAATCGGCTAAGAATGAAGTATATTTACAAAAGGATATCCAATTGCTGCCAAAACTTACCTTTCCACAGAGGTTGAGAGAGCCAAATAATTCATTGTGGGAGTTAAATATATCATCCAGATGCTCCTGCATCAGGTCCCACTCATCCTCTAAACTTTCCTGCTCTTGATCTGTTTGAGTCTGTGAAGATGAAAATGAAAACTAAATATGACTAAATAAGAGAATTTACAAGGTGTCTTTGGACCATCGGTATGGAGGATTACCGTGTAATTTGAATCTCCCTCAGCTATAAACTCTTGCCATTCCGAGAAACTATCATTTGTTAAATGCTTGCCCAGGCCAGATATATCAACTTCCATCACACTTTCAATTTTAAAGTCACGAGCACGGAACTTGTAGAGCTGAGAAATAGAATCAGCTTTGGATTCTGCTTGAAACTTCATCTCCATCCAAATACTTGCCAATTCAAGATAGAGCTTATGCAATAACTACAAAAGAAAGGCTTGCAACATCAATTTCCTTAACATTTCCATGTATGTAAAAGTAAGAGTAGAACAATATATCTTATGCAATAACTACACAATAAAGTCTTGCAGCATCAATTTCCTTAACATTTCCATGTATGTACAAGTAAGAGTAGAACAATATATCTTATGCAATAACTACACAAGAAAGTCTTGCAGCATCAATTTCCTTAACATTTCCATGTACGTATAAGTAAGAGTAGAACGATTACCTCAAATGAATCTTTATCCATTATCTTTGCATTTGCGATAAATTGTGAAATACGAAAGTGTAAGTCTTTGTAGAGAACAGCCTTGAGTTGCAACTGAGACACCTAAGAACATGGTAGAAGGACGATGGATAGACAAAAAAATTAAAATCTTCAAAAAAATTCAACAATGGCAATCTTTACTTGCAAACTTAAAGATTATGTGAAAGCTGAATAGAACTAAAATAATAATTTTGGAAATATCTTATGAAACATTACTTTTCCAGCTTCTTCTGTATTTGAAACAGAGATCAACTTCTGTAGTACGCTGACATCCAAACCTAAGGATGTTGCGCGAGAATCTGCACCATGAGAAAGGTGCAATAACGGCGAACTCCCATGATTGATAGATGGAGCTGAGGAGCAGCCTCTTGGAAATCTCATTAGAGCATAAATAGTTTCCTGCAAGGCTTGCGAACTTAACACTTTTGTCCACACAAGATAAACCATAACAATGTTGCCGAGAAGCAAGAGAGAAATTACCATGACTGAGTCAGCCTTGTCTATCCCAACTTTATTGAGAATATTTTCCAGAAAAGCTCCAGAGACAATGAGAGCTAAACCCAATTTCATCTCATATACTGCGACTTGAACTGGCTGAGTTATATCAATATATTCAGAATACTCGTTGGATAGTCGATCGATAAATGAAGTTGCTGTATCCTACAGAATCCAAACATTTAAGATTTTGAAAATGTAATGAGCTGAATAACCTAAACATGAATGGCAATCATATATATAAACAAGACATACCTGCCAGGTGCAAACATGCCCAATGACCTGGTTCCAGCCCAATCTTTTAATACTGTCGACCAGATCTATAGGGTTGACAAATCTCACAAACTCATGGAGCTCGCGTCTTAACTCCTTGTACTTTTTAGAATCAGGGCGAAATACAATCTGTTTAAGCAGGAATAAAAGTGACCACAGAAACATGGACAAACCGATTGTGAGTAAGTAGAATTACACAAACAGCATGATGATGTTTGAAAAGGAAAAAAGTACAGTAGCTCATATTGACCTTCCTTTGTAGCCTTTTATGCTCAGTAACAAGGCCTTGTAATGTTTGTTTGATTTTTCTGTCACTTTCTCCAGGAAAAAGCGATCCTGCGAGATAATTACATTCTTTTCGGACCTACAACAAGATTTAAAATTTTCAAACATACAGCAAACGAAAAATGCAGAAATTCTGCACCAGAATAGCAACTGAATCACCAAGATCAAAACAGAGCATCCACCTTCATGTTTAGCTCAAGGGATGAAATTTTCTCTTCTAGTTCTGATAGTTTGCATTTGATCTTTGTGGCTGGATCTATAGCATCAAAGCTATGCAAAAGATGGAAGCGAAGTTCTCCAAGATTTAACCACGTTAACCCAAGATTGAAGTAGAAATCTACAAAGCCATGCAAAAACATTAAAAACAATTCTTACCAAAGTAGAGAGAGCTCCAACAATCTCAATATATATAAATTGAATAAACTTACCACTTGATGGGCAATCAGGATAGAGATGCTGGACCAATGTATCAACAAATGAGTGAGTTAGAGACTTCAATCTCTGATGACTTGTAGACTCGATTAATGAGATCAGGAGCTGTCTATCCATCTGGTCAAGAGGGGGAATACATAATTATCCAGACAGACATGTTCTACAAAGTATCTAAACTATTAAAAAGCCTGTTGCAAAATGGAATTATCCAGCCGGAAAGAGCATGTAACTTCATGGAGGCAAACCTTGTTCGGGTTATCCTCAATGACCTGAAGCGTGGAGCAAATTGCCGCAAACTTGCCTGGCTCAAATGATTTTTTGTGTGTGCATATAACCTGAATGGTTAAAAATAAGATAAATACTACAAGCAGGTAGAGAAATTCGAGAAGAATTATTCATAGCACACAATTCTAATACCTGTTGGAAGAGAGACCGCGCAATTGATGACAGAAAAGCAGGTATTTCTTGTGTTGGTTTTGAGCTTTTCCATAGGCTTCGTGAAGCAAATCTAAGCTTGATTGAATGAACATGGAAATCCTTGATAGCAAACGCACTCTGACTGTAATTATATAATTCCGAAAGAAACTTCAACATACATGACCACAAATTTCCACCATTTGAGAGATAGTACACTAACAAGATGACTCATTGTCAATAAACTTATGAAACATGTCCATGTGTTATCCTGGAGATTAAGACTTTATAACAGAAAAACAAAGCATTAATCATAGAGACAACTCGAAAATCGTAAGCGAATATTAGGATTATCTATTTGTCTGTCAGGAAGAGCACCCAATTGGAAACATGCCATCATTTGTCAGACATAGAAACTGCCAAGGAAATTTAAAAGGTCTCAAACATCACAATGGAGACAGTGTTCTTACAGCATCTGGGCAACTGCAACTGTTTTCACTGGCTGAATCAGCATACAAGGAAGTGGAATGCAATGCCCATCGATCTCTGAGATATTCTGCACGCCCCAAAAAAAATCATATAAACAGAGGATGATAGAAAGATAGTACAGAGTTTACAGTCTAAGTGAAATTTTTTTTAAAAAAATCATTTAATTGTTTTATCCAATACCATGAGAGGGAATTGACTATGATTCCACAAAACTGAATGCCACCAGTACCACATTTCAAGAATTGAACCAGCAATTTTGGTGTCCTCTGCAATACAGCCAAAAACGATGAGCAAGTTCACTTTGGAGAACAGAAAACAATAACCTGTTAAACTCTACTACCTCGTATTGTAGAGCTGTGTGCATCAATTGTCCACAGGATTTTTTGATGAGCTACAAGAGTTTGAGGAGGCCTCGAAGAGGATAATGAATAATTTAGAGCATATTCAAGCAGCCTTGTAATGTACTCATGATCCTGTAAGTAATAAAACAGCAAGTCATGAAGAGCAGCAGCCAGATATTTAAGGAAATAGGTAACACCGTAACAGAGGCAGATAGATGTAAGTAAAAACCCTAGTGAAAGACCAGTCCGTCCAAAGCCCCAGAGAAAGACTGGTACTACAAATTGGCTGACAGAAGTATGCCAGAATTTTCTCAACAAGTCTAGCACAGATGTGCACATAACTATCCCCAACTTCATACGGTGGTCTTAGAACCACCGTGAGCACATGAAAAATAAGAGGGGGAGATTCCACTCATACACGGACCTGCTGTAACCCTGAGGGTACGGTGGAATGGACCGGCAGAAGGTGCTGAAGTATATTAAGTAACTCCACATCCAAATAACAACTTTCACTGCAAGCAAGAAGATGCGTTTGCAACCAACTGCTATAACCAGATCCAGTAGCCAAAATCTCTGGGAGTAAAACACAGCAATCAGCAGAAGGTTTTTCAATACTATCATTCCCACCGGAACCCAGCCTATCCTCCAGCCTTTCTCTTTCAAATTTCATCCTTCTCAACAGCATCTGGGTGAATATAGTCAAAATGGTGAGTGACAGATATGAATATTCCATCATTCAGGCAACAAGCATATGATTATGATATGAGAATACGAACCTGGTATAACTCATCCAACTGAACAGCAGCCACATTGTCTTCGTCATCCTTGCCAGCGATATATGATGACATGCAAAGGCCTTCACATTTTTGGAAGGGAAAAAACAAGTAAGATATTGAGGTTACATATCACCAAGCGAGACAATTACAGGTTACAATTTTTCCCCATGCAGCATATTGCTTCTTATTCCTTCACTTTCATTAAAAAACAAAGAGCTTCAAGAAAATGACATTAAACTAACAAGACGATAATATATCCTCATACAAGAAAATTAAAGCTTTGATAAATGTCCATGTTAGTAAACTATGATATCTTGTACTGTTTTTGAAGCACTTGATAGCTTAGCGTCTTTGTTAAAAAAAATTACAATTTAGGGCACAACAGTCACATATACTTTTCGAAAATAAGACTATGGACAGTAGTGGCTGAGAATGCTATCTGACTATTACGCTACATGAGTAGCACAATGCAAAACAAAGAAACTAAAAGATTTAGCAAGGCATTACAGAAAAGGTACCCTGTAAAGCAAGAGAACGCAGTTCAGGACAGCAAAACGACATAACTCTGGTAAGATAATCATTCCCTGCCATAAGACATCAACTATTAGCAGACAGAGCAAAAATAAAACAAAAAAGTTAGTATCAGAAAGTCGGGAAATCCAACCTCGTTCATCTGATTCTAATCTCACTCGCCAAACATTGTCACACAATTTCAGAAGTTCCTGCTGTTTAATGTACAGTTTTGCAGATACTGGCAAGGAAGGATGACCACCATGTGCCCATAGCAATGATTTTTCATCTTGACCATGCAAAGATATATTGTTCAGATTTTTGCTTTCATCCTACAAAAGAACAAAAATGATTTTACAAGCTACAACTGATTATGACTTGAAGAAAGATGTATCAGTGCAAAACTGAAGGATAAGCTTACCAGGACCACTCGAACTTCTTCAGGAAAAGAGCTGAGTAGCTTTTTAGCAGTTTTCATCAAACACCGGAAGGAGTACACTAAACGCTCACTTTGTGAGGAGACCAAAGTAGACCAAAAGAGCGAATGCTTTTCAATAAGTTGGGTGTACAGTTGAATCAACACACTAAAATCATGCGATCCCACCAGCATTTTTAGCAGTTTCTTCTCCAGTCTTTGCAGGGATTTCAGAAATGTTACGAATGACAGAGATACATCGGTGTGGTTATAGTTTCTTTCTGCAAACCATTGCTGATAGGAAAGCCGAAGGATCTCAGTGGAATTGAGACAATTAAAGAGGCATTTAGTAGATTCGTTGGCCTGCCCAAACAATGCAGCTACATCAATCAGTTTTAAGGACAGCATGGGAATAGGACTAGCATCAGAATCCATTTGGCAGAGGGATATCAGGTCCTGTCGGCATCTAAGTATATGACCCCAGATAGGATGCTCCAATTCCTCCTTGAGCATACTGAGAAAAAACTGGAAAAACGGACAGTATGGCTGCAACTTGGAATCAAGCCAAGTAAACCAGCCAAGATAGAGTTGAATATCCTTTTCGGTTGCCTGCTCAATTGCCCAGTTGGCGGCATATAACATCATTTGTGAAACTGAATGAAGTTTCATTTTCGGGGCATTTTCCACACAGGTTGATCCACTGGCAACTTTAGGAAACATAACCTTTCTCAATTCTCCAGCAGTAAACTCTCTGTCTCTGAATCTCTGGTTGCAGGTTATATCGGATTCATGAGATGCATACTGAGCCCCTAAGAACTCCAGATACATGCAATTCTGCCTGATGGTAACTTCTATTGAATACCTGGTGAAGTCTCTCAAGTTAAGAGGCTTTGGCAATCCCCCGGGTAACCAAAGACCCTTGCCGAAAGATGAAATAAAATCAGACAGGTCAATCTCTGACAAATATTCATTAAGAGCAGAATCAACTACTTCCTTTCCATCATCTTCCCCAAGGGATGAAAGATAGATGTGCTCCCAACTTAGTCGTAGGCTCCATAGAGGTTGATTGCCATTCATGAGCAGCTGTTGAAATAGGTTAACCCATTGATCAAGCTCAAGATACGTAATTCGAACATTAAAGCATTGACCTTTATGCCATGCATAAACATGTGCTTTGGCCATGGAAGCCACCAACTTGGAACCTGGTATGCCTGATAGAGCCAGAAACCTCTCAACACCTCTTACTAAAAGCTCTTCACTGTCAACAACTTCATCATCCAGCTGCCAATGTGGCTCCATCATAAATATTTCAACGCCTCTATTTCGCATTGCTCTTGATACCTCACCAAAATTTGGGTTAACAGTAAGGAACAGGCGAAAATTAGGATGTGGTGTGACAGTAACTGGTTGGCCATCAATAATTCCACACTCGTTTATGGTGATTGATCCACCCGGTTCAACCAAAGAGTTGATTCTATCAAGTACCTGACAAACAAGTTAACCACATTAGTTATCCACCGCATGAAGCTATTATTGAACCAATTATGTACAGCAAGCAAGAAACAGTGGAATGCCACACTTGTATAAAGCAATAAAAAGTGAATTTGTAGAAGGATATAAGAAGCTGAAAGGAACAACAGAGGCTATCTTACCGTGGGATTACACAGATTTGCATTTTCTAGGACAACCCATTCTCCATTTTCTATAGCCTTTATCAGCATTCCAGTCACCCATTCAAATCTTGTTGTCGGCTTTTTCTCAAAAGTCTGCAGCTTCAATATTGACTTCACGATTTGGTCCAGATTCTTCTTTGAGCAACTAGCATGCAAAGCGCCTTCATCCACCACCTTCTTTAGATGTGCTACGATCTCCGCTAACTTAGAGAGTGAGTAAGAAAGGCTATCAGAGTCCTTCAGTAAGGATGGAGAACCTTCCAGGATGTAGGAGTTTATCGTAGATAAAAAAGAAAGCCAGCTGGAAACTAAGCTGTTCCTTTCGCTTAAGAAGGTCTTCGAAGAAGACTCTAATAGCAAGCTGCAATACTCATTAAGAAGGTGCTCCACTTGAGCAACAACCAACCTGAAAGTCCGGAAGGCATTATATTGCTCAAAGCACCCAAGTAAATCAGATATGTCAGTAGAAGACGAGAGATTTAGTTCATTAAGAGCATATCCTGTTAGCTGAGCTAATATTTTGATCAGCGAAGTTTTCCCAGATGATGATGGTCCTACTAGAACGCACAACCATTGATTCCGCACACAATGTGCAACAGCCTCCAAGTTCTGACGGATTTCAGGCAAAATCTTCAGCTGCTCACTCGAAATATTAGACTGAGTGAAATTCCTTTTAATAGCAGCATTTCCAACAATTAAGTACGAAGGATTAAGCTGAACTCGAGGATAACTATTAATAGACGGTTTTCGGCCAAAAATGTCCTCATAGATACTGAGAACTTCTTTGCGATCAGTTGCAGTACGCATTCTTTGGACATAGACAACATTCAGAAAGCTGTCAATTTCTACATCGTTTACTGCCCCTGAAGATGACAAAATAAACTCCACTTAGTTTATAACCCAAATGTGGTCTCGGGAACAAACTAATTAACTTGGAAAAAATGAAGCAAAACGGGTAACTACCTTGCACAACTTGACAGGATCGAATCACATCACGCAGATTGAATTCCCAAGGTGAACCACTCTGACCAAACTTACGACTTAACATTGTATCATCATGTAGCCGCCGATTAAAAGAAATAAGCTTAGAAAGCAATGGTTGAGGAATAGACTGGTAAAGCGAGCTACAGATGAAAAAGTAATCATCTTCCACCAGCTCGTCCATATAAACCTGGGCCAATAAAAAAGATGCTGCTCACTCGAAATATTAGACTGAGTGAAATTCCTTTTAATAGCAGCATTTCCAACAATTAAGTACGAAGGATTAAGCTGAACTCGAGGATAACTATTAATAGACGGTTTTCGGCCAAAAATGTCCTCATAGATACTGAGAACTTCTTTGCGATCAGTTGCAGTACGCATTCTTTGGACATAGACAACATTCAGAAAGCTGTCAATTTCTACATCGTTTACTGCCCCTGAAGATGACAAAATAAACTCCACTTAGTTTATAACCCAAATGTGGTCTCGGGAACAAACTAATTAACTTGGAAAAAATGAAGCAAAACGGGTAACTACCTTGCACAACTTGACAGGATCGAATCACATCACGCAGATTGAATTCCCAAGGTGAACCACTCTGACCAAACTTACGACTTAACATTGTATCATCATGTAGCCGCCGATTAAAAGAAATAAGCTTAGAAAGCAATGGTTGAGGAATAGACTGGTAAAGCGAGCTACAGATGAAAAAGTAATCATCTTCCACCAGCTCGTCCATATAAACCTGGGCCAATAAAAAAGATGGGACAGTTGATAGTTCCATTTGCATCGTATGAAACATATCAAGGCACACATATATCATATGCTATCCATGACCAGAGGAAATTTGTACCTTAGCGAATCGGTTGAGGAAAGATTTTGGAAGACCTTTTCTTCCACCGCCTTGAGACGAAGGATTCTGGCATGCAAATACTCTAAAAGTAGGAGGACATTCAAAAGTACGATTAAGTTCTGGAATGAAGACCTGAGCGCGATGATCCAAAATCGCATTCAATCCCTGAAGAAATATCTTTCACTTAGCAACCTTTAAAAGGTAACCTCCACATATAAACAAAAGATGCAAACATGTTGCACTATAAGAACGAGGTTATAAAATTAAAACTGGCAAATTAAAGGCTCACCTCCAGAACAGACTGTGGGGCAAGGTTAAGTTCATCTAACAAAACCCAGGAGCCTTGCTTTAACGCCTATAAAAATAAGATAGTTGAGAATATGCAATATTCATAAATAGTACTTCAATCTCAAGATTTTTTCACCTGCAAGAGGATTCCATCAGACCATGCAAACTTCATCCCTTCATCACTTTCGACTGGTAAATCAGAACCCAGCAAATCCATCATGTCAGTCTGCACCAAAAGCAACTGAAACTATATTACACAACAAACAGAATGGTACAGAGAATTAATTTGTGGAGGAGGAAAGCAAACCTGCTCTGATAGATTTATGCGCACCACCTTGTGGCCAGAATATTTACCCACCGCCATAATTAAACTTGTTTTCCCTACCCCTGGACTGCCTTCCAACAAAACTGCAAAATTAAATGATCCAAATTACATCTAACAATTTCATATGCAAACAGCATAACAATTTTCAACATGCAAGTAGCAAGACAACAAAAATTAAGAGACATACTAGGTTTAGAAAGCTGCATTGCACGCAATACCCTCAAGGCATTCCTCCGAGTAGTTGGCGCTAAAAATTCAAATCCTTCAGTCTCGGTATTCTCATCACCTGAGCAGACAATGCACAAGTTGAAAATAGTATAACAAGAAGATAATACCTCTGGCAATAAAAAAATCAAATCACACCACTGACACTTAAAACAGCAACAGAGTAAAAATGGACAAGGAAGACAGATCTCAGGACATGAATGGAAGGTTTCAATATAAAATATGCAGATCTTTTGCAGGGATACTATGGCCAGCTACCTCACCTATTCTGATGTAAAAAGGATCGATACCAAACATTTCCCCACGTAAAACACTCTTATTTCCCTGATAACCTGTTTCACCATCACCCCAGCCATATTGCTCCAGTTTTGAAAGTTCAGAAGGTAGTGTATCACAAGCAAAAACCTGTGCCAGGAAAGTACACAAGAGAAACAGGAATATGAGACATTTAAAATAAAACCAAGAGCACCGCTGAAATTTTTGGCCTGGACACCTCATGTGGGCATGGCTATACATCACCCACACTGCTTAAGTTTTTTCGTGTTATCCTAATATTTTGGGAAATGAATATCTTAACTCCTATAATAGCACGAGAATGAAAAACAGAAAATGAAAACCTTGCTAAGTATTAAAATTATAAAAATAGTCAAAATCAGTTCTAAAGATTAGAACATTGATTTTTATTACGGCTAAGAATGTATCAGACATATTGAATGAATTCTAAAGCAACCTAGCTCTCGTTGAACAAGCTTTGGGACAGCGAAACATCCCAGAAGGACTATAGGTACCAAGACAGAACTTACCTTTAACTGTTCAGAAAGAAACAAGAAGCATTTTTCCCTCAGCTCTTCTCCATCCCTCTTAGAAAAACCGGTTCCTTGGAAAACCAAAACAAGAAAGTTTTAAGACAAATTGAACTAAATACATTAGGTTTGGTAATTAGATTCGGCTATACCTCGCATGCAATGCCAACAAAAGCAACACAAATATAACACCCGACAGACACATTAGGTTTATGAGCATGTTTAACTTTAATATAAATATTTCCTTAGAGCCATAAGAGGGTAAGCACATCAAAACTGCTACAAAAGGCATTATAAACCACAAGAAAACTATGAAAAGCAACTATGAGAAGCATGTAAGCAGAAGTTGTGAAACCATGCATATCAGGTGCATATCAACTATATTTCTGACGAGAAGAATAACAACTGAAAAAGCAAATTCAAAAACATAATTCTATGATTAGTTAGGATATTCTGAATTGTGAAAGGAACCAACCTAAACTTAAACCATCAAGTAACACTAGAAATGCCCCATGAGAAATAGCATATACAGGTCCTAAGTTTTCTCTAGTGACGTTGACAAAAGAAATCCAAGAGAGGAGATCCCTGACTGTGAGCACTCTCCCAATCTGCAACTGATTAAACCACTGCAGCATAAAAAGTTTAAAAAATTAATAGACTGAAATAAATCATATGCACATAATCTGTAACATACTAACATAGAAAAGAGAAGTGCAACATACCTCCCAAAAGTTCACAATGGGACAAACAATATTAGGATCCTTTGGGTCAGAAAGGCTGCAAAGAAGAGAAAATTCCTAATATAAAAACAGATTATATATATAAAGAAAATACAGTTAGCATTTCACGAAAATGACATACCTAGAAAGGGCAATACTTGTAAGTTCATCAATATCACTAATAGGGGGAACCCATATCTCAGTAAAACGGCTACGAAGTGCCGGAGACAATTCTTTCTTTCCATAATCACCACCAGGATTCATAGTAGCAAGAACTAAAAAGTTTTCGCGGGCTGCAACTTCCTCCAATACTGGACCACCTTTCTCAGCTAAAGACTGCATTGATAAAAGGAGTACCAAAACATGTGAATGGAAAAACAAGCAAACCATAAAGAAATGATCAGAAAGGAGGTAAGGAACCGGTGCAGATCTTATTCGATTAACGTGCAAGCTAACAATATCATATGTAGGAGGAAAATGGTGATAGCGCACTATCATCAGCCAAACACACTATTGACTATTCAACTCATTAGAAGAAACTGCTCACCAATTTCCTGTCTGGCTCCAACACACTATTCAGTCTCTCTAGCACACTATCATCAGCTAAAGATATCTCATCCACTAAGAAGAGATCACCAGCTCGCATAGCTTGTACAAGGGGTCCATCTTGCCACACAAAGATTGCACACCACTTCTGATACAACACAACAAGATCGTTCTTCATTTTCTCAAAAGCAACAATATCTTGCTGTCGAACACCTGTGTCCAACGTCGAATCATTTCTGTACTTTTCGAGAACTGCATCCAATGCTTTAATTAACATATCTGCTTCATTAATATCTGTAGAAATATCCTGTACATCAAATGTTCAAGACGATATAATCTCCAATGACAGAAGAAAAGACAGTGAAATACCAGTCAACAAAAAGTAAATACCAGGATACATACAATGTCTTGGCTACACTGTGCCAAAGCCTTGGAGGGCTTCAACTTCTTGACTAGGTTTTCGTATTCAGCAGCTAAATTAGATCTATCCCGGACAGGAAAGAACCCCTAACAAGATTATGTAAAAAAAGTTAAAAATTAAAAGATTTGCAGGAGCGTCAAATAACAACCACAACGCCTTAATCCCAAGTTTAAGGCGTTGGGATTAAGTAAAAGATTTTTATGACCATTAGATTAAAAAGAAAAAGCTTACACCAAGGAAGTCAGAAGTTTCTGTGAATTGATGACAATTAAGGATGTGCAATCTTAGCCCCAGAGCGTCACTAAGCAGCTGGCAGATGGTTGTTTTGCCTCCTCCAGTTTCACCAACAAGAAGAACAGGCTCACGTAATTCATAGCAACGCCTAATGAGAAAGTACAATCTCCACATATTTTTAGTCCAGGTGACAGATCTGCTCTGCCTGTATAAGAAAATAGAACAAGTAGCATCACAAATTTAGCCAAACCCGGTGAAGATCAAATTAACAATCTGGAAAACAAAACTACTAAGTAGATATAAGGTTTAGGAAGGAATGAGTATTTACATGATATCCTCTCTCAAATGAAGCGATTCATCCAAACCAGACAGATCCTGGAAAAAAGAGGCAAATATATAGAAAGAAAATTACGACCAACAACAGGATAGAGTATGAATTGCGAATAATGTAACGATGCACTAGATCACCAGAGTACTTAAAACACTACCTATTGGAAAAAAATGCTGCTGGAATATATATGTATATGTATATGTATATGTATATACACAGACGCAATTAGAAGACCATCGTTAAATTATAAAAAGTCACGTGCATCGCCGAAAGATAACATACCACTAAGAAGCAAAAACAATCTAACTACGCAGCATTGTCCTATTCATATACAAAACTCAATTGCCCGACATGCTTTTAGATAAATGATTTCAAAAAGCTTTTAATACCATAGCTTAAAAAGAGAAAACAAAACTCACACTTTTGTATAAATCGTCTTTAGCAAGAGCGACCCGAAAATGTCTCTCCAAAGCCTCTTGAACAACCTGCTTCTCTGCATCATCCCGCAGCTTCTCGGCAAGGAGGTAATATCCTTCTCTAGCTAGATCTTCATTACATTTTCCAAAAGTGCTAAAACGATCAGCCCAACGGAATAAATCTCTAGGTGTTATGTATCCATGTTTTCCAGCAAAAGCTTTACTATTTTGCCTATGCAGTTGCAAGTCCTTCATCACTTCAACCATTTTCAAAGCATGGCTTTGGGCAATGTGACATCTCTCTTTAAGAATTATTCTGAGTTCATCTTCCGGAATTTCATCAACATGGATCTCCACAAACCGGTTACGAAAAGCTCGAGAAAGCATTTTGCGCCCACCATATAGGGTTGGTGGATTCTGCGTAGCGAAAAGCATGAAATTAGGATGTGCTGATATCGTCTCGCTCAGCTCAGGTACAAAAAGTTCTCGATTATCATCAAGCAATCTGTTTAGTGCCTCCAGAACATCAGATGGGGCCAAATTAAGTTCATCCAAGACTATCCAATGCCCATTCCTAACAGCCTTCACTAATGCACCTTCATGAAATATGAGCTTCCCTGAGGAATCAGTCATGTAGGAGCCCAAATATTCTTGGATATCTGTGTTCTCATGATTATTGATTCGGATAAACTTGTGCCCACTTATCGCCGCAAGATACCTGACAAGGCTTGTTTTCCCACTGGATGTCGGTCCTTGTAAAAGAACAGGATATTTTTTAATAAAAATGGCATGCATCAGATGGCGAAGATGCTGTTTTACCGTCTTTGTCATGACATAGTTCTTCACAAAGTCATCAGAGCTGGATTTTAATTCTCCCAAGTAGCTGCTGGGAGAAAAGGGAGAAACTGGAGAGCTATGTTTCCCTAAGATGTACTTTAAAACCATGTGGTTCATGATCTTGGCACTAGAAGCATCCAACAGAGATAGGAAAAACATGGAAAATCCATCAAACAATGCCTTTTCAAATCCAGCAATGGCTTCTGCTTTTCTGGCGTACTCAAGTGCACGGTAAAGAGACCTCAAGCTATATTGTGGTTTCTGATTTGCACCATCTTGCAAGCTTTCTTCAGATAACCTTTTCGCTTCCTTGTAAAAGCAAACAATGTTCTCCACTAACTTGCTATCAGATTTGCGTCCAGCTAAAAACCGTCGTACAAAAATTCCCAGGTCATCATCACACAATTCATCATCCACAACATACTCTGTGAATCTGCTGCGGAAGGAGAGTGGCAACTCCCTTTTACCAGCATCTGTGGCTGGATTCATACAAGCAAATATACGGAAATTCGAATGTCTCGGAATGCCCTTTACATCCCCTCTTTCAGCAAGACAAAACGAACTTCTTACCCCTTCAAGAACACCAGCAAGTCTGCCCAATAACTCTGGCGGGGCTAAGTTCACCTCATCTAGTAAAATCCAGTGTCCTTCTCTGAGGGCTGTTATAAAAGCACCTTCTACAAAGGTAAATACCATTCCACCTGTGCAAATCTGCTGATGGATTTTTTCCACTTTGCCTAAAAGAGCCACCCAATCTTTAATCACATCTTGTTTCTTCCTTTTCCTACAAGATCCAGACCTTTTTTTCTCATTATTGTGTCCGGTGTGACAATCAATTGTTTTCTTCAATCCACTCAGAAATTTTTCCCACTTCCTGGCCCAAAAACGTTTTTGCAGCCGTTTCATTGTTTCTGAATCATCCTGTGTAACAACATGAAAAAAAGATTTATTAGAAGTGTGAAAGGCAAACTAAAAGATCTTAAACCTTAGGTTAAAGCTACCTTCATCCTTGATAGTCTTGCCAATTTATTGAATTCGTTGTACAGAGATGTGCACAGGAGCTTTGCGTCGACAGGCTTAAAACCACCCAACAGATCCACTATATCACTTTGCTGGCTAAGGTTCTGCAAGAATGCAAGAGAAAACAAAGGGAAATACAAAAAAATCAGACGATCTCCACAGAAACTACAAGAATTAAAAAGTCACAAAAAATAGATATCCTCCGCAACACACCAGAACAGTGAGTTTCTGCCCCAGCCATGATGCCAGATTTTGCACCAATGTTGTTTTCCCTGTACCAGTTTCCCCAACTAAGAGAACTGGCTCATTACACTCAACAGACCGAGCTATTTTCTCGAGCAAGCACATAGAGGTACGTGTTTCAACAAATCTCAACCTATCATGTGACTGCAACAAAAAGAGCAGACCATTAGAAGATTTCATTGATGAATTTTGGTGTTAGGAGGAAACAGATGCTTAAACCCACCGCAGTTTCACCATGTTCAAGAGAAACTCTTCCAATTTTCAGCATTCCAGAAAAATCCTGCAGTTTATAACACAATTAAGAAAACAGCCTGGCAAGATGCAAGTAAAGACATTCCAGAAGAAGAGGTACCTGGATTGCAGGCTTAGACTGAGCTTCGGACACAGGAACATTCCAAATGCTTGCAATAATTCTACTAATAGTCATCCGGTTTTGAGAGGACATAAAAGAAGCAGAGAATATATCAGCTGCCTGAGACAAAAGCACCAAAATGTCAAACTATGAAGATAAAGATTAAACTAAGCAAATGGGGAAAGCATATCTTCAAGAGCCAGACCTCTTGATAGATCGTATGGTTATCACATGAAGACAATCCATTAACTCGTTCGCACCACTTGATAAGATCTCTGGAAATGAAGGCACGATCAGAAACACTAAAATGACCAAAGTTGTTAGTAAAAAGAAACCTCATGGATCTCACCTCAGCGAAAATCTACTTGGAGAGCTGAAGGAAGCCTGATTTTCAGTCAGTGAACGTGTAAGTTGTGGTCGAAGCGCATAATTTACTTTTTCAAATGTTTCTGCAAAAGATGGAATAACTCACACACCGTAAGTATAAAACCCTCACCCAGATAACACAAATATGTAGCAAAGACCTACCAATAAGTTTTTCGGCAACATGCTCCAACCTTGAATACCTAGCAAGCAAAATACTTTGCAAACATCCAGTATCCGGCGGACGGACCAGAATTCTCCTCCAAAGAGGGCTAAGAGCATTTCCACCTACATTCCAAAAAAACAGACGAATAAAGATACTGCTTTGAAATATTGTTCATATATGAAGCAATAGTTTCAATTTTGGTGGTGATGATAGAAAAAACAAACAGTAAAAACTTTATAAACGCCTTAGGACTGTAGCCATCAACAAATGTTCCCGTTTCAGATATTATCGGTCGTAATATATAAAATAAATTACATATTTCATACTGGGTATGTTACTTGAAAGGACATCATATTCTCAATTGATTATCAATATTAGCTTTCTCTAACAAGGGCCAACATTCAAGAAAAAAAGATTGCAAAACCCTAAATCAATACAGTATAGAGACTCTAATCCACAAGATGCACTGGTCTTATGATTGAAGCGAAGCTCCAACAGAGAATTACCAAGATTATCAGGTTAAAGAAAATCTACATACCCCTTGCCAGGATCAAGCCTGCAGATAGCAAAGTTAACCGACAAAAGCACAAAAACATTCACAGCTGCCACTACAATAGAACTAAAGAATGAGCCTTTTTTAAGGTGCCACACTAAATAATGACTACAAAATATACCTTCTCTAAGGTTTGATATGCTGCCCTCGGTGGTAGATATGGTTGAAAACAGTCTGAAATGATCTGCTATTTGTATTTCCTGCATAAGACAAGCAGCTATCTGAAATTTTGGAAAAATCTATAAAACGAATACAATCTAATACATATCAGAAAAAGCAATAAAGAGGTCTTCCATAACAGAACAACTAAATGAACAGAGGTGAAAATGGCTACCCCTCCATGACTGCCACTGGTCACAAATGAACTTGAACCCCCAAGCAAAGGTGACAACATGACAGGGACATCGGATGGTGCTCTGTCTATGTCCTCAAGAACAACCCAGAAGCCATTCATGACAGCCTACCAGGAGGGAAAATTAGTAAAAACGCAATAAAAGTTAAATAGATAATAATCATTCAAAAAGGACACACACCTGAGTTAATGAACCAGGCTGCCATCTGAATTCTCCAGGTTGGTCGGAACACACATAAGTGCCAATCAAGGTTTTGCCATCAAGTTGGTCATCCATGTGGATAAATATAACTATAACATTCAAAAGATCGGAAGCTCAAAACATGTTTAGACGAACTCTAAACATGTTTCGAAAATTGGAATCTCTAACTACAGTTTGAAAGCTGACAAGGCAAGGCTTCAAGACATAAAAGCAAATGAGATTGTCTTGACTTCCATCTCCTGGAAAATCAATCTCGTATGCAAGCTTAGCCAGTGAAAAAAGTTGTTCCAGACAGAACACAAGCTTTAACTGAAGGAGCTTTTGTAGTTTTGATCCTTTGTTGTCCACAAGATGAATGCCCTCAACACAATCCCTAGTGAGCTCGCCAACCATGTCCAGACACGCACCCAAAACCGTACTAAGATGCACACTCCGATCCCCGGGAAGATCAGAGGCCTCTGCAGCAAAACTATCTGGTTAGAGAAGTTCAGTGAAGCTTTTTCAGTTTGTATAAGGAAGACAAGAATTCAAGTTGCAGTACATATCAACTTCACAGATCATCTCTAGTGGATGTACCGCCAGAATCAATTCAACATTTCTCATAACTGGAGTAGAAAATAAGCAATCCATATAATAAGAAGGCATTCTTGTGCAATAACTGTCATAAAACAAGTAGATAAGCAGCATTGTGATAGTGAACAAGTACAACAAATATTGTTTATAAAAAGGTATTGTCATCACTCGAAGTCTCAAACAAAGCACAAAATCTATGTTCAATCTTTAGCTAATTACCTTAAACATTTGAATCCAATATTCAAGACTATGTATTAAGAATAGATCATACCATGGCTCCCGCTGTCTTCAGCCAACTTTCGAATGAGAGCTGTCTTGCCAGAACCTGAAGGACCATAAAGAAGAATAGGTCGTTTTTGACTAACAGCCAGAGAGGCCATTTCATAACTATTCTTCACTCTAGGATTGATGACAAATGGTTCAGAACATAATCTTGCACCCCTGAATCAAAGAGCTATGAGTAATTCACAAGTAAAAAATAAAAAGAATAACTAAATGCAAGGTTTCTGCATGAGCTAAAAAAGATTTAACAAAAAGAGAACCAACCGTGGATCAATCCTCCGAATCTTTCGCAATGGCTCAAGATTGTCTAGCTGTGATGAAGCCGGACTGTTAACCAAAGAATGCAGATTACTTGGATAATTTGTGCACTGTTGCAAAGACCGCAACCCCGAACGACTAGGCAACTCAATGTATGTTCCAGCCTTCTCAATTTCTACATCCTTACAAAATTCCAACCAACTGAAAATATGAAAGAAAATAATTATTTAGAATTGAATAGCAAGAAGATGAGTTAACAAATTTCTCAGTAATGCTAGATGAGGGACTACCGCAATAAGCTTGAGAATGCTTCTTCTTTTCCAACATCAAAATGCCTTGTTACTTTGTCACTCCATCCCAAGACATTGAAAAGAATTTGGGAACCACACAACACGACTTCCCTATGTTTTCCCGATAAATCTTTTTTGTTGTTCATGGAATCCCATAAATAAGACCAATCCCATAACTTAGAGAAAAGTTCACGTCGGATATCGAGAAAACAACATGTTGATTGCACACAAAGCAAATATGCAGATGCAACCTGATCATGAAATAGAAACAATCAGGTGAGTTAAAATGTATAACCAACCACAGAAGGAAAGAGACTAAACCTTGATCAACAAGAATCATGAAGTTTTCTTCCTTTCAAAAAGATATTTACAACTTTAAAATATATTGAAAGTATACCTCTCTAGATATCCCTGAAGTTGTTACTTTCTCAAGAAGTCGTTCATGAGGTGCTGGAGCGAACTCAAAATAATTTAGGACAGAGCTGAAAAAAAGAAAAAGTTAGCTATCTTTTAGGAAAGTTAATCAATTTTCGAAAAACAATATGTTGTCTCGTCTTTGTACCTATTTTTGGAATCAATAATTTTACCATCTCATACAATAGACCTTTTAATAAGCAAAACGAGATGAAATTTCCTCACCGCAACAAAGAGGTATTTAAAAGTAGGGCACGACTGAAGGCCAAGCAAGCACACTCGTGAAGCTCCAAACCTCGTCCATGTTGAACATAATAATCAATTATACTAATACCACTATTCAGGGAATCGTCAAGAGCTGAGTCGTCATTAGAATGGTTCGGATTTGACCTCAGATCCCTCACTAAACGGAGAAGGCTCACAACTTTGTCTATCACCCGTCCGATAACAGCACCGAAGCTACGCGTCAAAGGAAGTGTATATGCGGGATGAAGAAACACCTTTGATAGAGCAGCTACCACCTCTTCCTCTTCAATTTCTTCAACTCCCTACCAACACCCAAAAAAACAGAAAATTTTCAACACCCAGAAAAGCTCTGAACCCATCTTTCAAAATCCTAGGTAAAAAAAAAATATACAATTCTCGGACCCAAAGACTACCTTCTTGGCAACTGAACTAAAAATTGGAGAAGTTGCCAAATTGGGGAAACGATCAAAAAACAACCCCAATGCAAGAGAGAGATTCTCCACGGGATTCATCTCGGCCGAGGCTTCGCGCTGGTCGTGGAGACGAGAGAGAGAAGAAGACATAACTGTCGAGACCAGATGCCGACTAGGTGAACCTTTCGGTTGAAGAAAAAGATGAAGAAAAGGAAGATCGCTTAAACCCTAAACCCCTCACCCAGATATACCAAAACTGTCGCACTAATATCTGAGATACAATTAGAAGGAAATGTCAAAGTTCCTTTTTACCCTCTCATAACGAGGAAAAGTCTCAAATATCCTTACTGATAAAGCGTGAGAAATACATGTCACGTGTGAACTTAACCAAAAAAAAAAAAGCATACATCAAAGCAAAGATATATATTATTATATCATGTATAATTTAAACCATCGTACATAAATTATTGTGTGTATATCTGTATATGTAATATTATAGTTTTATTAATTATTTTTAACATCAAAATTGTTCATCATCATTATGAAACTTTAAAATATAAAACAATAGTCAATAAAAAATATTTTGATCAATGGATTTTACTCAATTTACATTTGATTCTATATTCAAATGTTAAAAATATTTAAAAAAAAAAACTCATCATTACTTTGAAACAATCGTAACAATGGCAGCATTCGACAGTCAGAAGAATTTTTTAAAAAATTTGTAAAAATATTAACGTTTCCTTTACGACTCTATTATGTAACTTGTATTACGACCAGTTTTATTAGTATAATATATGCGTTTATTTACCGATAAAATGAACGAAGGTAAATTAGTCTTTTGTGTATGCGGGATATTTAAGATATTTTACCAACAAAATGGTGTATCAGGTGTAATTTTTTTGAAGTCAGTGTATTAGAGAAATTCATATGACACTATTTACGTGATTTGCCTAAACCTTTGTACAGAACTACTTCATAACCCCACGAAGGTATGACTCCAAAAACCCAAATCGCTAAATTATGTCATGTTTACGAACACAAGGCACTGGAAGATTTCGAAATCCATCAATAATTACGACAAAGAGAAAGAAAAGTTCAAGATTGTAAAAATTCAAAGATTACCTTAAACTATGCAAAGTCCCGCTTCGCTGTTTTGGAGTTCTTCGATTTTAAACAAAATAGAATGACGAACAACATTTTAAGACGGAAAAAAAGAAAACAATAATGAAAGAACATTGGATGGTTTCACCAACATACCTCAATATGTTCCAAGAAGCCTCTGTAACATAAAGTCACTGGTGTTCCCTACTCACCATGACTCTTTGTGTTTGGTCTTCATTTTCAGCCTTTGTCTTATCCATAGCATCCCTCATCATCTCCGACATGTCCTCCGCTTCGCCTACTACTTCTGTCTGTCTCGGTGGCTTCGTGTTTCTGAGATTGTTCTTCGGGAGCTTGAGGATCTAAAGATTGTTGAAGTTCAGTTACATGGCTGTCTCCTGGGTGTTCATGAATCTGTGTGCCTTTCTCAGTTGATTGAACTTGGACCTCGAGTTCAATCTCTTCAAGGTCGGGACTCTTAGGTTCCACCTCCTCCTTCAGTGATTCTTCTGTTTTCTCAACAATCTTATAATCAGATGAGGTTTTATCCACTTGGCTTGCAACTGGCTCTCCCATTACAGATGGAAGTTCTGTTTCTTCTTCTTTTTTTTCTTCCATTCCATAAGTTTGATCTCCAGATTCTTCCCTCTTTTCACCAGCCGCTGCATCTGATGCAACATGAAGATCATTGGACCCTTCTGAGATTTGTGCATTATTAATCTCTTCTGCTTCGTTATTTTCAGGAGATAAGCTCTCCTCGGCTGCCAATCCTGGTTCTTCAGCAACACTTTCCGTATTTGGATCAGAACCTCCAACAGTGGATGCAGGAAAAGACTGGAACGTGTCCCAATCATCATCATCATCATCATCTCCATCATTTCCCTCTTCTTTTCTGCTTTCTTCTATGCTGATCTGATTGGATGAAGTTGGAGCAGCTTCTGGTGTGTCTGCTTTCAGAATCGAGGCAGCTGACAAGGTAACCTTCTCGGGTGTTCCTATTACGGGTGCTGCAGGCAGTTTGATGTCCATTGCTGGTATCAAGGGTTTTGACTTCGGAACCATAGCATCTTGAGTAACAGAAGCACGGATAATATCCTGCCACAGAAATGACTAGAAGCTTAAATGGACAATTATTTCAAGTGCTTTGAAGCATGCGACATTCCACCAGAAACTGTTTTTTTTTTTTTGTAGTTTCCTAATCATTGCAAAATCCTAAAACACGAATTAAACCCTAACCCTAATTTCTAGTAAATAAAAAGAACCTGAAGCTTCTGCCGGTGTGTTGTTGGGAGTGAAAGCAAGACGTCCTTGAAGTGAATGGAAGAGGAAGGCATCTGAGCGATATGTGTAACAAGTCGCAAAGCTGCATTTCTTAGCTCTACAACTTCCTGTAAACGATAGATGAAATCTATGTAAATGACAGGTTCTTATCAGCAGTTATTTTAACACTTTTGCGTTGAGAATGGTACCTGGGAGTAACTATCTGATGTCTTTGAGAACACCATAATAATCGCTTCAAGAAAAAGGTTCATGAATCCCCTCTGATATTCGGTAGCATCGGATTGCGTCTGAAGAAGCATTATAACCCGCAAGCATTCACCCGCTATAACCACCAATTCCTTATTCATAGTTCTCTATTTTTGGAAAAGAATGATTAACGAAGTCAGTATTTGAAGACTATTACAATGAAAATTCTAGTGAGACTGGAAAAAGAAGAGGAAAAACCTGAACCGTCCCCTTCATCAGACTGAAAATATCCTCGATAAGTTCTCCGACAAAGAAGAAGAGAAAATTCTTTTCCTCTGGGTTTATCGAATGCTGCACCAAGCTTTTCAGCACTTGCAATGCAGTAGCTTGAACCTGCAGTTCAGATATTTGAACAGACTCCATAAGGAGCTTTACAGATAATGGTTGAAGTAATAAATATAACAAGCAGATACAACTTCAATTACCTGCAAATTGGAATCTCTAACTACAGTTTGAAAGCTGACAAGGCAAGGCTTCAAGACATAAAAGCAAATGAGATTGTCTTGACTTCCATCTCCTGGAAAATCAATCTCGTATGCAAGCTTAGCCAGTGAAAAAAGTTGTTCCAGACAGAACACAAGCTTTAACTGAAGGAGCTTTTGTAGTTTTGATCCTTTGTTGTCCACAAGATGAATGCCCTCAACACAATCCCTAGTGAGCTCGCCAACCATGTCCAGACACGCACCCAAAACCGTACTAAGATGCACACTCCGATCCCCGGGAAGATCAGAGGCCTCTGCAGCAAAACTATCTGGTTAGAGAAGTTCAGTGAAGCTTTTTCAGTTTGTATAAGGAAGACAAGAATTCAAGTTGCAGTACATATCAACTTCACAGATCATCTCTAGTGGATGTACCGCCAGAATCAATTCAACATTTCTCATAACTGGAGTTAATCAGTAGTAGACAAGAATTATATCCAATTCTAATCCTTAAAAACTTCCCATCCTTGCATTCTTTCACAATAAATTATCCCGGTTCTTGAAATGTCAGTTTGTGTGGCAAGTATTCTTTGGCTAGTGCTAGTTATTCAAGAACCCTAGTTTCTCTGGCCCAAGCTGACGTAAATAATAGAATCTGTTATTGATGATGCATCACTTTAATATTGAATTAGATTTCTTACCACTACCGGGGTTTTGCGATAAGGCACTGGTAAGTTCTTGCAGTAACCCATTAGCAGACTTCACAATCTCAACAACCTTTGAGAGGGACGAGTCTGTTGAGGCTTGTCGGATGCATTTATACCCACTTAATACAAAAGCCAGAGGTACTGACTTGAAATGATTCTGTTTTATATGACAAGCAATCCACTAGTTAGATGTAAGAAATTCGATAGATAACTGAAATCCTTTTTTGTCTCAAAGTCACCTTTAACTCCAAACGTTTCACTAGGGTGTCTATAGAAAGAAATAATGGAGATAACAGATCCTCCCAAATTGCATCATCTGGCAAAACTGCAAGATCACTGAATCAGGGAAAGAAAAAAATCTTTGTTACTGTATCTTCCTGATACATTTGTGATGCATTTCGACTTTATTGTTCATCGGGAATTTCAAGTAAAACTAAACAGCAATAAGCACAGACTTCTGATTGATTTCACAGAATCATGGAAAAGTGTGCACCTGTTGAAAATTTTGAAAAGGTGCCCCAGACAGAGTTCCATGGTCATGTAGGCAAACTGCTCCACGTCAAGAAAATCTTTTGGGCAGTTTTGTAAAATCTAAAGACATAAATTCAACAAGCTTAATCAGCAGTTGTGAAGCATGTCATTTTTCCGTTGCATGATACATATACAAGTTGATGGAAGAGGAATACGAAATATGAGTGTAACATGATTGGAAAATGCAAGCTGGAAATGACGCTCTATGTCCTCAGCTACCAATTAGAATTGACTGTTTCAGAAACATCAACTAATATTTACCTGTAGCAATATCGGAATTGCTAGAATATCCCATGAAGTGTCCATATAAAAGGAAAATAAGAAAACCTGCACGATTTACAAAGGGAAAGTGAATAAATAGATGATAAGAGATAAACAGAGGTATACAGAAGCCAAAGCAGAAAATGAAGAAAAAATATTTCATGAAAGTGCATCCATGTCAAAGATAATCAATCCAGACATACCTGCAACAACTCTTTGCAGATACTTATGGTAACAAAGCCTCTGGAGAAGAATCTCTCAGCAGAAAGAGATTGGAAAACTGGTAATACAATTTCATATAACTTGAGGCCCTGGAAATTTGATTCTTCTGCGCTCAAATCTCCACCATATTTTGTTTTAGCTGAACCAAAAGGTATTACTTGTGTTGTAGAGACTGGATGTTGCCCTTGAAACAAGACAAGTAGAGAAAAACCCCAAAGAAACTGATAATCTTCCACCTCTAGTTCAACCATGCAGTGTCTAGATACCAAGTTCCTGGCTGAAAATTCTTCTGTACTAAGTCCTGCAGGAACTGCATCCAGAACAAGTGCCTGCAGAATAACTGGCCAAGCCTCTTCCAGGCAAGGCTGCAACCTTCGGGTAACAGTATATAACTGGATTTCATTTAGGAACGAATACCTCTGCAGTCAATCAAAATGCTTATCAGACAGACGGAAGAAAGGTATAAAAACACTAGCATAGAAAAGAGAATGTGAATATAAGTTATCCACTCACGCTTTTTTTGAGGTTCTGGCATAAGCAAACACAACTATAGTCCTTTAGGATCTGCATCCAGTACCTTCCAAGAAGGTCTGAACTCTTGGAAAATAATGGCAACAGTGCCTCGAATTCATCAGGCACCTCACCATGGTGTCTTCTCAAGAATGTAAATATATAACATTTAAGCGAGGCATGCGCAGCAAGAAGCCTGATCTTGATCTATGTTTCATGAACAAGTCTAGTAAGTTGAAGCCAAATCATAGTATGAAAAGATGTGTTTGGTTTATGCACCTTGCACGTGACCCATTCAGAAAATGAAGGATAATACAATTCCTTGAAGTCGTTGAGTGGACGTGAAATTAGCGAAAAGATTCGTTTGACTGCAAATTGATCTCCACTTATTATCCCACTGGTCATTATCTGTAATGATGCAACAAATCCACTTAGCGACACCTGGGCACATAAAAACAAAGACTAATCATGGCAAATATTCATATTCACCTTAGTGGCCAAATGTAACCCAGCTTCCAAGAGAACAGGGCCCGAAGATGCATTCAAGGCTGTACGAACAGCTGACACGAGTTGAGCCTGCATGTTAAATTTATTAGCAATGATAGGGTTCACTAGAAATCATCAGGTTATTCCTTCTTGGTTGAGAAGGATTTTTGCAAGCATTCTACATTAGCCTAGCACCTGATATTGTTCCAGAAGAAGATGCCCAGGAAGTTCAGGGTCAGCCACTGTATTAAACTGCACAAAGGATTACAAAACTATGAGAGAGTTCATGTATAGATGAATAGCACCCATACTAATTAGTAGCGCTGGGAAAAAACATCAAACAAACGAATAGGTAAATACAGCTTGCAGCAAAATCTTGGTCACAAATGCTTAATTTTTTGTTAGTAACTAATTTTTATTATTATATAAAAAAATAGAGAGGAAAAATAACAGAGGCAACTCCAGATGTGAGAAGAAAAACGGAAAATTGTGGGGAATGGAAGGACCTCGTGTAACTCAGAAATTTACAAGAAAACTCACCTTCTCTAGGATGGTACTGAGAAGTCCAACTCCAATAGGACGCATGTTTTCAAATTGAATAGTACTTATCTACAAAATGAAAACATGTATGTATATTAGAAGTTAATCCCAATCATATTGCAGAATACATCAAATCGTAATCTATCAAATTAGTTGTTTGATCTTCACCTGATAAGCAAGTGATATTAGTTCCTGCAAGTGGAGGACCAGCCAGTCACCTGAACTTTGTCTATCAGCAGCCAGTCTCCTAGCCAATGCTAGATCAAAATGAGCAGCTTCCTTCCCAACAGCTTCCGGTAGAAGACTCAAACACCTAGAATCCATTACTCAATTTCGCTTAGATAGCCATGAAAAGGCATGAAATCGAGAGGCATACATTATGTCGATAAGAAATCAATATCAGTTAGATGTCATTATCCGATTCCATGATGGTCATTCGGACAAACAACACGACAAGGATAACAGAACAGTCTCACTTACTCAGCTGCGAAAACCCTGGTTCGATATCTTAGGGTTTTGTCTTTGTCAGGATTGGTATGAAACTGTTTCCCTCTAGAGCTAGAAACCATGTCTTCATCATCATCTCCAAAGTTTGCTCTTGTATCATCAGGATCATTTTCAGCAGTGTTCATTTCAGCACTCCTTCCAGCAGATGCTACAAGGACCTGACAGCAAGGTAATACTAATAGTTAATGTTTCCTCCATAACAGTACATAAGTATACACAACCTTAAAACAACTGTCTATATTAAAACTGATAGTACTTGGGGGCAGAATTTTGAGCAAAAGCAGAGGCAATTGTGAGAAAAACATTTCTCATGGTCCCATTTAAAAGGAACAAGACTAAGCAGCAGAAAGTCCAATATAGAACCAAACCATGATATACTACAAGTTATTTACTCTTACCATGCGACGGCATATTGATATCCACCGAGATGGACGTGATGGACAAGTTACGTAAAGCAAGCGTGTCAAAGTACTACGTATCAAGTTCCCAATCCTACAAGCACAATAAAAGTAAATGAGAGTACAGAAATAGTGAAAAAATACTAAGGTTTGTAGAAGCTCTTTGCATAGAACAATTCCTCATAGATATTTAGACACAAACTTGCACAGATGTGCTAGTTTCGTTTGGTTTTCATTTTCCTTTTTTGGGAAACAATTTACGACAAAATGAGAAACCTGAACTTGCAAGATTTAGGTCATCTGAGAAGAAGCCACTCGTGAAACAAAACCCTGACATATATAAATGCCTCCAAAATCCGTAAGCCAAAACAAAAGACGTTAACCTAAGCAAAACCTGGAAGTCATTATGTCTTTTAGCTTAACCAAATGGATTTCAGACTCTATCAGCCATGCAAGTTCAACAAAGAATAGAACTACATAAAAATATCAGATTTCTGCAGGATGACGGATTTATTTGTTTACCATATTAAGAAAAGGGAAACAAACAAATCACTTACTCAGAATCAGTTTCTTCATCCAACATCTGAAATAAGTTATCTTCTATTTGCTCATCAATGACAGAAAACTGGAAGACCAAACAGCAAAAGAGTACATTAAGTTGACAATTGGAGAATTAAATTAAATAATTCGTAGGACAAAAAGATGCCATTTACCCGGTCTTTTTCAATTAGATGCCGAAGGGTAGATACAGAGAGTCGCCTTATTATTGGCTGTTTTACAAAAATCACAACTAGCTTTTATTAAAGACCCCTGCTGCAAGAGTCACATGAAAACAAGAGACAAAGAAAACCTGTCTTGATGCCAGCGTCAGTAGAAGATTCTGCACATGGGCATGCACCGAAACAGCTTGGGGAGCAAATAGAATAAGCTGCTGGGTAAAACATACGCTCCTGAAAAATTATAGGTGATTGACTAATAATCTTGACAGAACATAAGCTGATTAAGCAGTATAATATACATAAGGATCAAAGTGAATTTAATAAAGAACAAAGCGTTAACATACTCGAGAAGTGTTGGCGTTTCTTGCCAGGAGCTAATCTCTGCAACAACAGACTACACAAAACTTAATTTTAGAATACGAAAAATGGCTCACTTCCACAAATTCATGCACAGTTATTCACCTTTTCCAACAGGTAATACCTTATAAGACGCACACTTTACTAAACTACAAGGTGGAAAGCTCTAGAATAGTACCTTGCAGCGAGTAAAAAGAATGCTTCCGGGAGCAAGCTCTGGACCAAGAACAGCAACAATAGCATTAATAAGACGCCCTATGCCTTGTGGAAGGTCAATCCATCCACTTTCTTCAGTCAACAGAATGTCCAAGGCAAGTCCTAGCGCTGCCTGAAAAAGGAAAACCAGAACGATAACACTAAGACATTATAAGGAATTCCAAAATTTACAGATAGTGAAGCCCCACCTATAGTTGACAATGTTTATGAAGCATCTTACATACGATTGCAAACTCTATCAAACATCATAGATATAGATTGAGACTTTTGTTTTTACCTAAGAATTCCTGTCTACATGAAGCTTAATGGAGTTCAGATCATATACAATAACCCAATAATATATAGACAGGGTTTGACTTCAGGCTGGTTACTACAAATAATAAACAGCCCAAACACATTAACAGGGCTCCTTTTAACAAAGAAAAAAAAATATAGTTAAAAAAAGAAAGAAAAGAACAAGTGACATGAAACAGCTGGGGCTAAACAAACAAAATTACCCTTTTACCAAACTTAATCCTTCGAAGAACTAAAAGACTTTTATTATTTACAAAAGGACAGCTTAAAACTGAGGGTTATATAAACATTTAATGATGTTGAGATTGTGTTTATTCTATCCTAATGGGGCCTAATCAGATCCTGTTTGAAAAAATTGGAATATGTAGACTAGGGGAGTTTCCAGAAATACAACATGAAAACATCTACATGAAAGCCTAAATAGTTAAAAGTTGTTTACCTGAACATGAGATACAAAAGACAAACCAGCAGCTTCAATGGTCAACAGAAGTCCATGCAAAGCCCAGATCTGTAGACCAAGATTAGAAGCTTTGGCCATGGAAGAGATTGAGGTAACAGTAGTGGGTACTAAGGTGGACAATGCCATTCCTCCTGCACTGTAAGACATACATAACAAAAAAATTACAAAATATAACAGATTACCATGACAAAGTGCTTCCAAGATGTAAAACAATGGGTCCACAAGGTGATGAAAATTAACTTAAATGTCAGTAAAACAACATGAATAGGGACATAGACTCATTGAATATTCAAACTCTCTGAATAATCAATTCTAATGATATTCAGCATACAATAAACAAAATGTTCGAGACAGAAGCCTGCTTCCACCAATTCACTAAAGAGCTGTTAAAGCATCACAAATCAGAACAAATATTCCCCATAAGTGTATTCAGCACATATTAAAAATAACGTACAAGAAAGCTTATTTCAACCTGTGATGGATGCAGCCAAGTGCCAGTGCAATAGATCCACTATAGCTTGGATCTGTTATCCCATTGAGATCGTTGAGAAGAACTCTTGTCTGTTTGCCACCATGAAAATATTTTAGAAATTAAGCAGAAATGGTTTTTCATGTCTCCAAAATCCCTAAACATAAAATAGAACAAGCCAAACAAGAGAGGCAGTACATAAAAACTTAGCAATTAGAAAATAGCTGAAGAAGCAAAAGAAGAACAAAAATAGAACACCAATGTTGCGGCAATGAAAATGCATTGTCTCACATATATTATTATAACTGCTTGGTGAATATTTTATTAGCATTATAGGCATTCAACTTTTACATGGTGAATATTTTATTAGCATTATAAGCATCCAACTTTTAAGGAGCATAAAGATGAACACACATAAGACTGTTTTGCAGAGATTGCACTGTGGACAGACCATTCTTGCTGTAAAGATGTCATTTGCAAGGCGAGCTAGAAGGCCGAGACCCTCAGATGCTGCTCTACGTTGTGATGCACATATATCTCCCTCTACCAAAATATTCTGGTTCAATCAGAGCACCAAATAAATTAAACAGCAAGAGAAAAAAAGAGATTCTAATCCATTATTATGAACTAGCTGGCATTTCACTCGAGATACGGTACCTGAAAAATGGTTTGAGCCGTACTTAATACTTCTGGCTCTAATGGTTGAGGGTGCAGATTAAGCAAAGCCTGAAAAAACGAATACACATTAAACTTGACAAGTAATGGCAGCAAATTATCTTCGCTTTATAACATTTTTATGTGGCAGGTAACATAAAGCTAACGATCATGCACCTCATATCGAGTTGATTCGTTCAGATGGTTAGCCCTTATATCGCTTCATAATGTTGCTTGTCCCTTTTCAACTCACAAACTCTTATATGCTTCATATTTAGATCAAAATCATAGATGATCCTCTTTAACCATATATAATGGCTTTTCATGCATACTTTTTAAACTTTCCACACAACCGGAATTATGGTTTACCCTAGCCCAAAACGTCATAGACTATCTTACAAACTAGTCTCTGAAAGAATATACTAAACTCTCAGATAATTTTGGCAAACACCTTTAATCCAGCAAGGAGCCCCACACAGATATTCGTTAAGACTGCTGCACGCCATTGTTGCCTCTTTCCAGCTTTCATGCACTGCTGAATAACTGAAAGTAGTTGACGCATTCCATTACTATCCTGTAACCAAAATCCACTGTTTTAGACAATTGATATATCAGAAGCCACGACAAAGCAATGAAATCTGACTCGAAATGCAAAATTTGTACCTGAGAGGCAAACATGGTACCAAAACAAAGTAGCATCTGGTTAACTGCAGTCTTCTTTACTGTCTCTGGCTTCATGGCAAAAATTACACACAAAGAGTTTAGAATAAATAACAACGGCAGCTATGGCTGATGAGAAACAAATATTTGTTCGAAAGAACGTGAAGCTTACTAGAGGAAAACTAGAAACTTCATCTTCCCATACACTTGGTGGTAGGCCATCCTGCCCACCTTGAAAATAACGAAGTTCATCCTCAAACCAATCCCTGGATAAAAAAAACAAAATCAGGGATTTAGGCATCGCCTAGAGGGGAGTAGCCAAAGCATATTCAAGAAATGGAAGAGAACTGTATGCAACCAAATGCTACTGTCTTCGGAAGAGTAAAATAATGTATACAAATGATTTACACACCTTCCAGGAATCCAAGGACCCAGCCATGCATCTCTTCTGTCTAGGAGTGCCTTCAAACACGAGCTTTCCTCAAACCCAGAAGGATCCCTTCCATTTCAACAAAAAGAGCAGAATTTTATGCTTTAGTGAATGACAAAGAATCAGTTTCTAACCATGATTTTCACATTAAGTTAAAGAACGATTAAAATAAAAAGCACCATTTAGTAGCGAAAATTTAGAATTACCTATAGGGTGCTGTGCATAACTGAATAATTTGTTGATGCTCACTTTTATAGGTAAAGGGGTCAGGGATGGATTGATAAGCAATCAACACCCTAGCAATGAGTATGTCCACAAGAGCCTTGATATCAGGTAACTGTTTGCCAGCTATTGCAGATACATGAGACAATGCCCTGATTCCAACAAGATGATGTTAATTCAATTATCATGCATACGAGGAGAAAAAGAACTGTGTTTCCACATAAAACTGATAGTAAAAATTAACACCAACTAACACAGTGAAAAAACCGTAGGGAAAAAGTGCAAAGAAGTCATACCTACTAAGGTAAACAAGAACTGGTTGAAGTAAAATACCATCATTGGATGAGGCAAAACGTCGCACAAAAGCTGCGAGTGCGTCAATTGCAGCAGACCAAACACTGCGATAAGGGAGATCAGTGATGATTTTACTATTTGCAAGACAAAAGATTAGTTAGGTTCTTGACACAACGCAATTATCCCAGTTAAGTGTTATAGCAACCATGGAGAATGACTACTCATTGTACTCAAACTCAAAGCCAAATGCGATGTAATTCATGCATGGTAAGATTTTAACAATTGTCCCTAGAGCCAGTTCTTCATGACTTATATAGACAAAATATAGTACTAGATGTCCAACTGTTTAAGCGGCAGCAGAATATAGTACATGATGTTGATGTGTTTGTGACAGACAATAGTAACAGAATGAAGAAAAAGATTCTCCGTTGAGTGCTCAGAAAGGAGCAAGTTATCAACAATCAAATATTTTTTTAACTTTGCAGTGAGTAAATAATTTATTTTAAAAACACCGGATCCATGTTCTTCAAAGCAAAGGAATTGCCAATACATCAACCTTTGGCTGTTTGAAAAGCTAATATAAATTATAACTCAAACAAAAAATATTCAGACTTTGGATTTTGCAATGATAAAATACGCCTACAAAGAAACTCAGGACCACTTACCTTAATGTAGATATTAAGTCTGCATGATGTTTGACTAAATGTTCCACATCCCCCGTAAAAAGGTCAGCATACAGGGATAGAATATCAAAAACTTGATCTTCAAGTTCCTACATACAACAAATAATATGACAATTAGTCATACACACTGCCGACACTAAACTAGGAGAAATCAAGATGAACTACTACTACCTCCAGAGGCATAGAATTTAATAGTGATGACAACAACAGCCATCCGGCTTCCTTTTCACTTGAGCCAACCATAGCATTTCTCCTCGATTCTGTTAGCATCTTCTTTGAAACTTCAAAAACTGATTTTGGCAATCTTCATGCAAGAGATTGAAGAGAAGGATAAGAATTACATGAACAGATACACAGAAGTGTTAAGAAAATGGCTAGGTAGCACCTTGCAGACATTGTCTCTTGTTCCTCTTACAACTCGTTGGACATGAGAATCAAAATAAAAGGAAAAGAGAGTAGCTGCCAACAGTACAGACATATTTCGCACAGGAATTCCATTTCTTGACAGGAAACATGAACAAGTGAAACATTTATATAACTTATTGTCTAGAAAAAATAGGTCAAAGTATGTGAGTTCCGACGGATTCTTAGAGAGAGGATCTCATTAACTAGCGTTCTTTCTTGTGCCAATAAACAAAAGAGTAAGCACAATATCCAGATCATGTCAAGAATGAAACAAGTGATAGGTTCAACTGTTATGTGTGTTGACACAATGAACTAATCTTCATGGGAAAAATTGACCAATTAACGCATAATAGCATCTAGATACAAACAATCTAAGTACCCAGCGTTATTTGGGGAAAAAATCAAAAGGGAGGTAGCAATTACTTATTGGAACGGGTATAATATTGACTATGTTGTGCATGAGTACAAATAAGATATGAACTTGGGACTTTAAAAAATCTTACCTAGCAGGGTAACCAAGGGAGAGTTTCGGAGATATGGAAACTAGAGAAGCCAAAGCTATAGCTTGCCCATGCAAGGAATCAAGATCCGCTTTCAAGTTGCCACCCTGGAGACAATAAAAATGGTGAATATAAGACTTCGAGAAAAGGAAAATGAGAGGAAAAAACATGAAGAAAAAAAAACAAGACAGCATGGAACAAAAGAAGAAGAAAATAAGAATCGCCTACAGATGGGTATTTATCTCCGAAAAAGAAGATCCCCTTTTCATTCTTTTACAATTCAGAAAAAATGGACAGTTGTAGAAAAAGGCAAGAGGCATCAAAAGACATGAAATGGAACTATGGCTATTTGATGCAGTAGGTCCTGTTATTAATAACTCAGAAGCCATCCTATTCAACCGCACAGCAGGTCATTTCCATGTATGCATGCTAATAGAAAATAGCAATTGACAATACATTAGACAATGAGAGAATCGTACACTCAAGAGATACTAGAAGAAGAAGAAAAACAAATGAATTCACATGGAACAGAACAATATTACCTTTTCGAAAGATACACTTTCTCGTAAAGCGTTGAGAGTGGTTACACCATACGAAGTCAACCCACCAACGCAGGTAGGATCAACCTCAGCTAGGGTACGTAATGTCAAAGCAGCCTCAACACGCACCTGGTCAATTAATTTTATGGTTTAGCAGATAATTACATAAAACTTTATTGACTTTCAGGTTCCTTCTTTATTTTGTTCTACAGACAGAATATGCGCTTCCTGTAAGTGTTTCCCCAGTTTACCCACTACACCCAGTCATTGATGCATGCATGCCAAATTTGAACTAGAAAACCTGATACTGTTTCCTTAGTATTTGTTCAATCATCACCGACGAAAACTTGCACCACTAAGACAAGTTTCACAATTCATTTTAAAAAGGAAAAACATAAATGCCAATGTACAATTGTATACGAATGAAACAAAACAAATGAAGTTACTACAAATCAAATGGCAATCAGAAAATTTCTTGACCAGAGTTGATTAATGCAATCACCCTAGCTTTTTTGTAGAAGGTCCTTCTATCCTAACTTTTAGCACAGGGTATTAATGCAGGTAAAACAATTTTAGATCGAGTTGTTGCTCGCAGAAAACATTGGACACCTTTCAATTAGTATAACAGTAAAAAAAATTATTTTTAGGATTTTCTAAACTCTCAAACCATCATTTTTTCTAACGGACAGGAACAAAATGGTGGGGAAAAGAAACTAAGCATTGAATGTGAATAATAAAATCTGAGAAAATCTATAGGAAATAATACGAATATGTTTACCAAAGAATGCAGAGTATCAAATAGAAACAACTCAAGCCCACAAAAAGTATAATAATAAGGTAACTAGATAAGTGAAGCTTACAAGGTGTGAAAAATGTGACAATGCTGCACCAACTGTGTCATCAAAAATCTCTTTGAATTCTTGGGGTACCTGCAGGTCAACCAAAATGCCCAGTAGGAGTATAAATAATTCTGCATAAAAAGGCAAAATAAGGTCCGTATACAATGCACGACACAGGAATCTTGATGCCTCTACTTGACAAGTTACAAGCAATATGAATTGACAAGAAATTCTCAGCATTTGTACTTGGAAAGTTACTAGAATATCCAAGAGTGGTGCTTAGATTGCAACAATAAAACACAGCCAGTTAATTGATAAGTAAAACATGAAGAGTTAAGCTAAAAATGGTATTACCTCCCCCAACGTTGTCAATGTAAATGACAAAGTACGTAAAGCAGCAATTTTCATAGATGGAGTAGCATCTGATTTCTGAAGCTGCATTTGTTTAAGGAACATTGTCACTTGAATTGTTATGGCACAATAAAAGCTAATAACTTGCAAATAAATCAGCTCCACTCGGGATATAAAGAATGGTTTAGTCACTCAGCAAAACCTGCTTTCCCATGAAAACTGAAAAGCTCCTCTGGGTAGGTTCTGTCATTTGATCAATAACACCCACCCGCAAGATGTAAATAACGCATGCCTTCAAAAAGGAGAAAATTCATGAACCAATCTGTTCAAGCAGAGTATTATATTAATCGTCGTGCCAAGAGCTAGTCCCTAAGCTTCACACAAATCCATTAGAAGAGCTTAAACTTTCTATTTTGCCATAGGTACAAAAGAAATGAACTGTTTCAATAGTATCTGAAGCAATTGTTGAGAACTCAAAAGTACTCCCTAATTTTAGAACATAACACCAGCTTGCGTGAAGAGAATGTGTAAAAGAAAAGGAAAATAACGTTAACAAAAACGAAGTCAATAACTCTATCTAGACAAAATGAAAGTGTTAGAGTTGCAAGGAAACCAAAGAAGTACCAGTGTGTGGGCATCAATTGAAGTATCCCCACGTAGCATTTCCAAGACTTGTAAAGTATAGCCTTGAAATTCACTATCTGGATGCAAATACCTTATTCTAACGGACTGCAAATTGTACCCAAAGAAAATCTTATAAAAAGGAGGACATAATGCAAACATGTACATATTATTTAACACTAAACAGGTGCAGCCAAAGCAAAATTTCGAACATACATACAAGATACTAAGGTATATTTATACTACAAGCAGAAGAATGCAAGACTTATGCAACAATTATTCCAGCGATGAGAACAACACAAATATTTTCCACTGTTTACCTGTAAAAAGAACACCCATGATAGAGCCAAACCAACTCGGATGTCCTTCACCCGAGATCCAGATGCTGAATTTTAAGCAATTTTCAGAATAAGTGAGATGTGTGGAGAAAAAGGGAAACATTCCAACCAGGGAAGATAGAACCAATGTCCTCCATGCATAACCATAGAAGAGATGAAAACCTTTAACACAGCTGTCAGCAAAGGTTAATATTTTCGACAAGAGGAAACTGTATTCAGACGATAATAGATCAGGGGCAGTTCTGCCCCTAGTGTGCATGCTGCATGCTATTATTTTCTTTGTTTGATTTGGCAGGCGTCTACAAAATAGCAGCGCAATCAGTTTTTTTGTGTTTAAGGGAGTCAAACAATATCTGCTGCAATTTCAAAGGGAATTCCACTTAAAATGTAAGAACTTTGTGCAGAGATGAACCAAGGTAGAATGTAGATATCATATTATCATAAGGACTTAAAGAGACTACAAACTCTGCCACTATAAACTCATAAAACTACCTTTGGTGAAGGGTGAAATAAGATGTCTCTGCAAACCACCTTCAAGTTTCTTTGCTGGAGGAAATGGACCTTTACCTCTAGGTTGGACCTAGCAAGAAAAGCAAAAATCCATTACCTTGAAAACATTGAAGATCAGAATGAAGAAAACTTCCAGTAAGATATATGTACTTGAGCTTCAGGATGCATTCCTAGAGCAAGCAGGGAGCCCAGGGCCTCGGCAAATGCATCCCGGACGGATGATACTGAATCTTCAAGACCCTATCAGGAATTGAGAGGCAACGCAGAATACCCAAGACAAAATATCAGCGCCAAGAAGCCAGAGCAAAAAACATGCAAAAGAAACATAGAAATGGCTACCCACATTTGACTGACCTTGATACAGCAAGAGGCTAAAGTGTCAAATTCACTAGTACCTAGACCTGGTCCTCCAATGTTGGATAAAGCCTTCAAAGAACGAGCAGCAGCTATTCTTACGACGAAAGATTTGTCCAAAGTGGCAAATCGTGTGATGAGACGGAATGCTTCACCATACGCAGTGGCAGCAGCTGTACCACCGCAGCCTTCCAGAGCATTCTGAAGCAAAAGAAAGGCTTCTTGTCTCACATATTCCTGAAACAAGGGGTAAGAGAATAGATTCAGACGCAGCCCAATGCTCATTCCACTTCCTTATGATGTCAAGGAATTCCAAAGAAATACTCCACGCTATTATTCTTCAAAAAAACACAGGTTCAGGAAAATAACTTCAACAATTGACAAACTAAGGCATCAGATTTAAAAGGAAGTAAAAAATATAAACCTGTTCAGCTCAAGTCATATCTTACAGATGTGACCAGTTTCAGAGACAGCAACAACAGTTCAAAGGCCAAACCTTAACTGTCATAGCCATATATTTTCAAGATTTTAGGAGAATGCAGTTTTTCTGTGCAGTTCACTGGACTGATGAACACAGAAAACTAACATTTTGTTAAAAAAAAATATTTAGACACTGAACCATTCAAATCTCCTGTTCCAAATCATAGAAGAGTTCAAATATCATCTGACCACACCTCATGAAACTTCATCAGCTTTGATGCGATAACTGTTGTTTCAGACAAACCAGATGTAATTTTTCTCCCAAAATGATGATACAACTCTCCCAGGCATCGGGCAGCACCTGCAAAATGCTCTCTTTGTTAACATGGGAGACAACAGAAAAATTAAATAAAAGACCGAAACACAGAAAGGAAAAAATTGATATCAAAATTTTCCAGTGGGTGAACCAAACTAAATGATAAGATGACAATATGGACTGGATGAAGTACACAGATGCTTGAAATGCTTAACTAAATGCAACACGAGAGGGTGACTTACATCTATCAACTTTCCAAATATAATCAGAAAGTCATATCATATAATATTTCCGCACTAACAATTTGTCTGAAATTTTTAAAAGTTGCAACCTACCGGCAACTCGTTGAGGATCGTTCCGCTTCCCATTAGAGAGAAACCCTTGTAAACTGCTTGCTCTTGAGTATATCGAAATGCTATCACCCTTTGACATTATTCTCACCATGGCTACTGACGCCAAATGACGTACAGGTCGCCGGGCGCCAAGAGTGACTAAAGAATATAAAGCATCTTCACATTTTCTTTGTCCCAACAGTATTGTCTCCTGGGGATCATATTAGTTGATCAGCCATTCAATAGGGCACATATTCTAAAGTATAATGATCCAAGATAAAGTCTTTATCTCTACATTTTCCCGAGGAATCAAGTTCAAGTTGCAAAGAACGGAGAGGCGGGAGTTACATCATCGAACCCAAATTACTTCCCTGAATCTTGGAACAAAAAAAAACATCTTTTGTGAACTGCCATTTGGCTAGCAGGAAACTGCAGCGCCGCAATAAACTAAAGGAAAAGCTAATCAAAGAAAGACATGATCTTTGCAAGAGAACTCGATTAGGAGATGAAAAACAGACGAAAATCAGCAAAGCCTGAAATTTGAAATGGTATTTCAAGAAAATGAAAAAAAAACGGCAAAGAACAAACCCCGAGTACTAAAGACCGGATGAGAGGGAGAGAGAGAAACCTTGGGCTCATCATCAATGGCGGAAATTAGATCAGAAAGGATATCGAAGCAGAGTAGAGGATCAGGGGATTTCTGCGATGCTGAAGCCACGATCGACTCCAGCTGCGCCACAAGAACGCCGAATCGCGACAGAGGAAAGTTATCCCTCACGCTACTCTTCGCCATTCAAGAACAGTGAGAAAGACGAACATAGAAAGGACCAGATCCAGAGGAAAAAGAAGACGGTGACGAAATAAGAGAAACAGTAACTAAGACAAGGCCATTGTAATATAAAGGGATCCGTAGCGGATCTTTCGGACTAAGAAGAAAAAAAGCCGGGTCGTGTTTCCGGGTCGGGTCAAAATACCGAAATTAAACCGATTAATTGGTTTACAATACAAAACCGGTTTAGTTGTGTGTAAACCGATAATAGATCTCAATCAGAAAAAGACACGTGGCAGATCAACGCATCAATCTCCCAAAACCTCAGAATCCAACTGTTGTCAAGGTTTTGTGGGGCGTCTTCTTTAGTCACAGCCTCCAAATATATTTATTTTAGTTTTTTTATTTATTTTATATATCAGGAAATCAGCAATTTTTTTCATCTCCCAATTTCTTTGCATTTCTCGAAGCCCTAGCATTTGAATCCGATCTCCTGACAAAAAGGTGAACGCTTGCTTTTTCCTCTAATCTTCCCGTGTCCGTTGGAATTGATGTTTGAATGTGGTTATAATGAGATCTGTCTGATCGTTTCAACGATTTTGGATGATCGGATCGTACTGTGTTTCAGCCTTTTTCGATTCGATGTGATGATTTTAGGGTTTTGTAGCTTTTCGAGTGCATTTGTGGTTTAATTTTCCCGAAAGGATTCATTTTGCTGGATTCGGTGGCAGATTTTTCAGACAACGTTCCTCGGATCTAAATCTTCTGAGATTTTCTGTTGGATATAGCTGCTTTGTTGACCAGTCCAATAATGTTTTTTGTTTCCGCAAGAAGAGCTTTTCACAATTTCGGTGGACTGGTGGTTTAGGAACAAGTTGTCTGAGATGCATACAATTACAATGACGCTTTGATGGATTATGTCTATGCTGTTCCTCTGCAGTTACTTAACCTGTTTTGTTTTTCATTTTAGATCTGATGATATTAGCTTCCGATATGACCTTGAGCATGCAGATATAAATCTGCACCCTTTTCTTGTGCCGTTAACTCGTTGCATGTATAAGTTTGAATTTATAACTGGGCTTACGGCGAATTCCTGTTGGTGCAAGTGATTTGGTTCAGTTTTCAAAGAGTTGAACTGGTTGGTTAAGGTTTATGCTGTTCCTCTGCAGTTACTTAACCTGTTTTGTTTGTCTGCGTGAAGGTTTTGCACTAAAGCTGTATATCCAAGATGTCGACTGGGTCATCACGGGAAGAGTTTGTTTACATGGCAAAATTGGCCGAACAGGCTGAACGTTACGAGGAAATGGTTGAATTCATGGAGAAGGTTGCCAAGACTGTGGATGTGGAGGAACTCACGGTCGAGGAGAGGAATCTGCTCTCTGTTGCCTACAAGAACGTTATTGGAGCCAGAAGGGCTTCATGGAGGATCATCTCTTCTATTGAGCAGAAGGAAGAGAGCAAAGGAAATGATGATCATGTTGCTATCATCAAGGATTACAGGGGCAGGATTGAAACTGAACTTAGCAAGATCTGCGAAGGGATTTTGAACCTTCTCGATTCTCATCTCATTCCGGCTGCCTCTTCAGCTGAATCTAAAGTCTTTTACCTTAAAATGAAGGGTGACTACCACAGGTATCTTGCCGAGTTTAAGGCTGGGGCTGAGAGAAAGGAAGCTGCTGAGAGCACTTTGTTGGCTTACAAGGCTGCTCAGGCAAGTGAATGTCACTTTTAACTGTTCTTTACAACCTAAGGTATCGTTTTCGGTCACACTTCTATATTGATTTTGTTGTCTATCCACTGGATGCAGGATATTGCTCTTGTTGAGTTAGCTCCCACTCACCCCATCAGGCTGGGTCTTGCACTTAACTTCTCTGTTTTCTACTATGAGATCCTTAACTCGCCTGACCGTGCATGCAACCTTGCCAAGCAGGTTTGTTTCACCGTATGCTGAAGTATATTCTGCTTGTTACCATTCTGCAGACCTTAAGTACTTTTTCCAGGGTGTGAAAAATGAAACAATGCTCAAGTAATACCATCAGTCTGTTTAATGTTTATTTTCATGTAATAACTTACATTACTGGTTTTACGTATTCTCTATTGAGTATTACAAAACTCTCCATCGCTAATCGTTCATCTTTCACCACATTTAATAATCGTATGAACTCTTTTTTTGTTTTTGTTTTATTCTACGGTGCAGGCATTCGATGAAGCTATCGCGGAGTTGGATACACTTGGTGAGGAATCATACAAGGACAGTACCCTGATTATGCAGCTGCTCAGAGACAATCTCACGCTCTGGACTTCCGACATCACTGTAAGTCTCACTGCTCATCATCACTTATTTAACAGTATTCTCCAATTGATGTAACCCTTCACAGGTTTCACTGAAGAAATTAGACCAGAACAAATCTTATAACAGCTAATTAATCAAGATAAACCAATTTCTGGGCCATGCTGTTAAAAAAAAACTGATGTGATCGCTCCTACTGGATAGGATGAGGGTGATGAGATCAAGGAATCAGCGAAGCCTGAAGGTGCAGAGGGTGATGAACAAAAGCAGTAAAACAAAAGAAGAAGGGGAGCAGGTAATGATTATGGGGTTACTATTACTATAGGACAAACACTTGAGACTTTTGTTATGGTTATATCAGGCTCTTTCATTGGTTTTGTTACAGATAGTTTATTCACAAACACGTGAACCTCCCCCAATATAAATTTCTGCCTTTCAAAGATCGACTACCGAATTCATCTTCAGTATTTATATAACATATGTAAGACCTCTACAAAATATTTGTAATCAACAAATCTATGATGTTTATGAATATTTATATAAATTTTAATTATTAAAATTTGATATATTTATATAAATATTAAGCCTTTTGTGATTTTTGTAATTCATATATGTCTTCTTAATATGTATATTTTTATAACAAACTAGATAAACATCCGCGCGATATGCGGATAATTATTTTTAATATAACATAAAAATATAACATTTATTTGATATGAATTTAGTTAAAATATTTATGCATTATTTATTTGAATTTTGAAAGTATATTTGTAAAATTAAATTATTATAAAATCATGTGTCTTAAAAAGTAAAGAAATGTAAAAAATAAAATATTATTGTACAAACCATGTATAAAATTGATATCAATAATGTGTTCAGACCTGTATCTTCTTTATTTATTTATTTTCTTTAATCTCTTTCAATATTTGGTTTAATTATAAGATAATAAAAAAATGATATTATTAAATATTATAGTTATCTTTTGTTTTAATAATAATTAAATTTGGATGCACATTTTCGATGTATAATTAAGTTCGGATATACAAATTTAAAGTTATATTTAAAATAAATTTGATTTGAAACGAATAAATTTGATTTTAAAATTAAATTAAGCGAGTTTTAGTGAGATAGAAAACAAAATATTTTTAAAAAAAAAAGGATAAACCTATCCGATCTGATCTCTGAAAAAAGGGAGGGAGAACAACTTCCATAAATATAGGGCTTAATTTAGGACAACTCTCGGTCAAAACGTCAAAAAGCACGCGACGAGAGTTGGGTCAAGCTCCCTCAACGGTCAAAACAGTCTCTCTAAAGGTGGGACCGATTATCCACGTCACCATACTAACCTCCACGTGGATGGTAAAAAACCCGCCACCTCATTAAAACGGGGAACTTGGTCCGGCACGTTTAATGGGAATTGCCACGCTGGCGTATTTTGAGTTCGTACATGTACGTATAATATATATATAACTATATTATATATGCAGAGACACGCGCCAGTCTATACAATTCAGAGAGATGTATATAGGCATTATATGTATATATACGTACGCAACCAAAAGTATATATACACATTATGGTTTCTTGAGCTTCCATATCCTCCATTTTCCCTCGGATAAAACTGTAAGGATTTTCTCTCTAACTTCTGTTTATGTTTTATTTTTTTTTTTCAGTTTTTTCATCTCTCCCCAATATCATTGATCATTTTCGATGGTTTTTTTTTTTTAAATTCTGGTTTCATTTCTTTCTAGATTCGACGAAACATCGAGGAGAATTGTTTGGTTGAAACAAAAAATCAAAATAAAACTGAAGAATATAGTCTTTGTAATAGTCTATATGTACTAAGGAGGAGAAAGAAAAAAAGAATCCAAACAACCCTACAAAATATAAGATCTAACAAAAAATTAAAAAAAAAATTGAAACTAAAATATCTAACAAAAAATTAAAAAAAATATTGAAACTAAAATGTCACACCGTTCATGTATCGGCAACGACCTCGTTTAGCACATCATCCTCTCCGTTTGCCATGGTAAGCAGCTCTGCTTCTTTCTCCTTTCACCAATATTTCCAGTAACTCTGTTGCTGCTCCACGCATTAAAAAATGGGTGTATGAAAACTTTTGACAAATATATTTGAACAGGACCGTCTATGAGGGGGTGCAATTGGAGCATTTGCACAGGCCCCCAAATTTACGAGGCCCCACTTTCTTTTTTTTAATATTTTTTAATAAAATAAGAAAAACTATTATAAATTAAAAATATTAAATTTTGTTATATTGTAATAATCTTTTATAGCAATTATATTTTTTAGTTCATAATTTTTAATCACTATATATTTTTAAAAATAAACAAATTAATATAACAAAGTATTTTTTTTTAATCAAAAGTTTCATAACAATAAATTTGATTTTAACTTGTATTACTCTTTAAAATAAAAAGTAATAATTTATATATATTTTTAAAAAATTATTGTAATAAATAATATATTTTTCTATTTTTTCTATAATTTAAAATTTTATCTATTAGTTATTATATTTAAAAAAAATTAAATATTAATTAGATTAAAAATTATAAAAAATAAAAAATATATAATTGAACAAGACCTCTCAAATCTATGAACTAACTGACCTTTGAGACGGGCATTCCTTCCCTCATCGGCTCCTTCCTTGTAATTTCCATCTTGTCTGGAAAAAAAATGATGAATTGCATAAGAAGGGAAAAAAAAAGTTCGACTGAAATCGGAGTCTCGGAAGACAGGAACATGATTATAACATATCGAGTTCGAGAAATTTGGTGATGACCAGCAATACTCACCGGCGAGGGTAAGAAGGGTTTCTTGGAGTGATGTGCGAAGACGAATTCGGAGAGAAGAAACTGAAGGCAGGTGACATCTACTGGATTCCGGCTGGCTCCGTCTTCTACTTGGTCAACACCGGCATCGGTCAACGCCTCCACGTCATCTGCAGCATCGACCCCGCCGATAGCTTGGGTTTGGAAACCTTCTTACATTTCCGTTGTATATTGACTGATATCACTAACTTGTAATCTGTATGTATTTTTGTATAGTCTTTCTACATAGGCGACACCTTAGCAACTGCATTCAACGTAAGTAATCCACTTGTCCTAAGGATCATAAACAAAGATTCTCATCCATATATGGGTTTCGGAAAATTATGGGGAGTTCACATAATTTATATTGTTTATCTTGTTTTAGGTCACCGCCGCCGCCGCCTTACTATGCCAATTCTCACCGGCCCGAGTCTTATTGCACGACCCAGTTTCTCAGATTCTGATTAACAAATTAAGCTCCCCCGCGATCACCGCATCACCGCAGCGTCGGCGATGACAATCGAACCGGACCCGAGTATCTGGCGAGGCTTTGTTGGCCGGAGAGGTAGTCATGATTCCGGTGATGATTCGTATACCCAATAAATATACATTTGCGCATCTAGAATTCCTTTCGTATGTTCATATTGTCCTTTGTAATTATTTTAGTAGACATGCATCTTCTTTGCACGTCCAGAGGACGTAACCGTAGCTTTACAATTATTTAATATAATCTCCATAAATATTAGCGTTACAATTAGAGTTACATTAATATCCTAGTATATATCTGTTTATATTCTTATTTTTTATATTTAAATTTAAATAGAAATTTTTTAGATTCTTACAATTGAGAAATATATTAAATTTAAAATTTCATACGTCCTATATAATAAACGATGCTTCAAATCTAGAATCTTAATCAGTTACATCTTTAATAAATGAAATCCATTACACCCAAAAAAATCCACATCATGCACGTTACGACATGACGAAGACGGATAGTTCACGTTTTGCCATGTCATTAACGTTTAACTTAAAATATGGCAAACATTGATCATATTATTATCATTCATGTATTCGCTTTTTTTGTTATATTTTTCAATATAACGTGATTCCAATTTAATACAAACTATTATTAATTATTAATAGAGTATTGATTTGACAAAGAGAAAATATATTTTTTAATCACTTTTTTATTATGATATAAAATATTTTAATGTAAAAACATTTTTTAATTATTTTTAATATATATATATATATATATATGAACATTAGTGAATCAAAGAATTGAAAAAATTGAAAGAGAAAATATAATTTTTTTATCGGTCACTATTATAATGCAAAATTATTCTAATATAAATTCAGATTTTTTAGAAAAGAATATAAATTCAGATTATTTACAAAAGAATATAAGCAAATGATATATGTAGATAGAATCTAATATTTGTTTAAAACTTAACTATTTAATTGTTATATTAATTGGAAAAAACAAACTAATTATTTTCACAATGTATAGATAATGAGTATTTTAGTAAACCAATGAAATTTGAAAAACTTGATGATGTGGCTTGTTTAGGTGACTTCATGAGAAGCCTTCAAACACAACTTTTAATATATATAGATACAGATATAGATATGGATTTAAAATTAGATTTAAAAATTGAATATTTTTTTGTAATTTAATTAGTTGATGAATTTTTTAATTAAAACTAATATTTCATTGTTTTTATGATAAATTTAAAGAAAAAGATTATTTTTGAATAAATTATATAGATTATTTTTTTCCAAATAAAATAGTTGATGGTTTTTTTTGTAAAGTTTATTTTTAATAAATTAAAAATACAATTTTTTTGTGCGAGAAAGGAGATAATTGTTTTTTTTTTTTTTTGGAGTTTATCTCTCTAAGTTTCCCAAAACAAAGAGGAAATCTGTCAAATCGTAACTCTATTTAAAGGTATCTCAATACGAAACAGAACAGCAGCATCGAATTACAACTTGAGATATGTCTGGGGCAAACTGTCAAACCTTAGCCACGTCGAAACGAGCGAGACTGGAAGGCAGGGAGTTTCATCTTCCGGACTCGATATTAACGGGAATTCTGTCGAGATTACCATTGGCGAGCATCGCCAGATTGAAATCTGTTTGCAGAGAATGGAAATCATTGATCGAGTCCCGCTTCTTTAGACAACTGTACCAGTCCCTAAACCGAGGGAACTCATCCTCGATCTCGTGGTCTCTCGTTCGAACAACATTCCGTGAGGAGGCGCTCCAAGTGGTGAGCTTCCACGGATGCGAGAGATGGGCACTCGCCAAATCTCTGGGTTCTTATCTGTCGTCTTTCGAAAGAGACCTGAAGCAGAAAAGCGGGATGAAGATCACAGCGATGGAGGTTGCAGCCACGGTCGATGGGTTGGTTCTGCTCTACGTCGTAACTCGGGATGGAGAGAAAAAATACTTTCTGGGCAATCCGGTGCTGGGACAGTGGTTTCATCTCCCTCTCCCGCCATGGTTGTCTCTTGGTCGTCTCAGGGAGTTGCAAAGCCGCAGCCTTATCACGGACACGGGACTGGTCACGGACATGGACAAGAACAGTGGCTGTCTCCTAGGGTACAAGGTTGTCTGGGTGGTGATCCCCCAGATCACATCTTCAAGGCTTAGTTTCTGGATATATTCTTCCGAGACGGGCTTGTGGAGCCAGGAGGAAGCCCGTTGCCCGGTAGATGTTTCCTGGTACAGGCTACACCACCCGGTCCATTCGAACGGGCATCTCCACTGGCTCGACGACGGTCTGTATGCTGACAACTTCGTGGCTAGAGGGTTCTTCGCCTCGACAACCACCACCCGCGAAGATCTTTGCCACGTCATACCTTTCCCGGACACGCTGGGAGGTGACTTCAGGCCGCGTTTCCGCAGAACCTTGACGACATCCGGTGGATCCCTCGTCTACATCAACGAGGACGCGGGCCGAGAGCTGAGGGTTTGGAGGCTGAACGACGACTA